AGGTGTTCGTTGCGGACACCCTGTTTAACGATCCTTTCCCACAGGTTTAATGGCAAGTCGATCGATGTATCGCAAAGCATGCCGCGGTCCGTCCCCCGAATCAACAAGCGTCTTAATTGTTCATTTTTAACCTAGGTTTCCTTTTCCTTTACGAGCTGAGATCTCTTTCGTTTGGTAACATTCGTCTGATGGCAGCTTGCGAGTCCCTGAAGACAGTCGGTTGGGTGGCTGGCAGCTGAAAATGGTGAATAATTCACGCAACGATCATTTGGACGCGAAGCCGGCAGGTGTCGGGCCACCGGACTGGGTCGCCCGCTCAGCGGAGAAAAATGTTCGGCCGCGTGACACTATTTTATACAACTTACAACGTGAGTGCACCCATTAGATTTCGCTCAAAGGCAACGTCAATGCCACACTTTTCGACTAAAACCGAATAAAATGCGGTAAGATCTCATTCGGAAGCTCCTCTACTGCTTTTACGGACCGGGTTCGCGGGCCGGAAGTTTATTTTGGCGGAATTTAAAGTAGCAACTGAATAGGCAGCTGTGCAATGATCGTCGTTTTATGGATTTTTAAGGTTTCGGACGCCTGCGTAGATCAACAAAAAAAACACACATTGACGAAGTCACACCATGGCAGTGGCGTGGCGTGAATTGCGATATATCGATTGTTATGCCATTTAAACCTATGGGAAAGGATCGATAAACGGGGTGTTTGCAACTAACACCTTAATAATCGATACTTTACCGCAGTTTCAAATGGGGAAATATCGATCATTGATTGGTCATGCCTCGCCAATGCACACTGGGGCAATTACTAGGCGACAATACCGTCGTGCTAAGGAAGAACGCCGTATGAATATTCGAGAGTTGCCAAATTTCTCCAGAAAAAACATGTATTTATAAAGAAAATTAGGCTTGTTTTTCCTTGAAATTTTCAGATATTTTGGATTAAATTGCGGGCAAAATTGTCTGAAAGATTTGAGGAAAAATTTTGACTATTTTCTCGGTAAATTCGTTATTTATTTATTGAAGGAGGTATGGCAACGTCTGAGGGCTCATACAGCGTTCTTCATTAGCACGGCAGAATACGCGGACAATTTTTTCAGCGCTTGGTATCCCTGGATTTTTAAAGAAGTGTTACCGAGGATTTTCGAGCTTCTTAGATACTTGGATACATCAGAATTTAAAAAGCACGAAATAGGTGTACAGATTAATTAAAAAAAAAAAAAAAAAAAAAAAAAAAAAAAAAAAAAAAAACCCGTAAGGTAGGTACAATGAAAAAATGTCAGATAAATAATTTCCGCAATGAAATCCTTTAGACGGCAATCACAAAATTTTATACTGATCTACTCGACACTTTTGCAAAAGAAAATTTTGAAAACGTTCTTGAAAGGGCTAAGAAAATTCACCCACAAGTTTATTGGAGAACGATGGTCGACGTCAAAAGAGAATAACTTGCCGAGAAGGAAATCAGTCGCGCCAGGAGCCGTCCTTTCGTAATTTTACCATCAACATTTATTGAACGTTCTTATTGATGCGAACGGAATTCTTCAGTCCGAACCATTCCGACCACCACAAATAAGGCGAGAAAAGAGGGAAAACTTAACGATCACACACAATATTCTACATCGAAACACAGAATTTCATCCCTTCATATACTACTGAATGAAAATTGGATTTGCGTAAAGAAAACCTCGGGAGAAAAAAGACAGCTTCATAAGGACCCTTGACGAGAATTATCGACCGTCCGGAGACAGGCGTGACGTCATAATTACGTTCCTCCTGTATCATTACACATTACATAATTTCTGAGGGTCCTGCGGAGGGCGGTTTGGCAACAGTGCGGGACACTGGTGCACTCACGTTGCACGGAGTGTGCCGGGCCCTCTGCGCCCCCCCCCTTTCGCCCCTGAAAGCCGCTGTCCCATTGGTCGGTTCCCTGCCATGCTAACCGGAGTCATTGTCATTATCAAAAAGCGCCGGCCAAAAATAGAGAGAGAAAAAACATCGGAAATTGGAAAAACGGAACGCGTCGATCGACTTGCGATTATGTCATCCGTTTCGCTGAGCTTTGGAGTAGCTTGTCGCCGTTAAAGGCCACGCGCTGAAGCGCGAAAGTTTCGAACGATCCCGCTATTCTGCCGAGCTAACGAAAAACGCCGTAAGAGCCTTTAGGCGTTGCCAAATTTCCCCTGACAAATAACGAATTTTCAGGAAAATTGTTAAGTAAATATTTGTCAACCAATTTCTCAGATAATTTTGTTCCTAATTTGATCTAAAACTTCTGAAAATTTCACGGAAAAATATTCATAATTTTCCTCCGAAATAAACATTTTATCGAAGGAAATTTGGCAACTCTCGAATGTACATACGGCGCTCTTCCTCAGCGCGGCAGTATTGGCCGGGATGGCGCGATCCCCCCTGGGGACACGCAAATTTTGAAGAGAGAGCGAGAAAATCTTGCCCGCGACGAGATCGAGCGGATATTTTCAGACGGGCCTATTGAGAGAGGTGAATAGCGGGATGAAACTGATAACGGATATTAAGTGGCAGCATTGAACGACGAAAAATAATTAAGTCCTTCATCGTATCTTCCTCCGTTGATATAAAGTTTGGACTCTGTTACATTCAGCTGTAAGTGGTTCTGATTTAGGAAACTTGAGAAGGGGGAGGGGGGGGGTTGTTATGAAGAGCTCGAAAAGGATGGAATTTGAGATCCAGTATATTTTAAGCTGTAATTTTTTGAAGGATGTAGGGGAGATCAGCCAGAGGCGGATCCCGCAATTTGGCAACACCGGATTTCCTCCATTTGAACTTACGCTAAATAATCGATTCTTGTCGGAGCACCTGGCCCATCCAGGAATCGATACATTTCCATGGGTTTAAATGGAGGAAATCCGGTGTTGCCAAGTTGCTGGATCCGCCAATGGAGATCACCTTCACCTGGCTAGTATTGTATTCTCGACAGTGGCGGATCCAGTGTGAGTTGGAGAGGGGCGAGGGGGGTCATTTGCTGATGTCGAGTTAGGGGACCCTCCCCATCTCCCGGCCAAGGGGAGTCCGGAGGGTCTTCCCTGAAATGTTAGAGAAAAGTAGCCCCTCTCAGACTGAATTTCGGCAGTTTTAGCGTACGATTTGTACATAATATGAAATTTGAAAAATTAGGGCAATTTATATTAGTATGTGAGTAAGTTTTAGGAGCTCCTTCTTTAATTTCTCTCCCTCTTCCCCCCTTTTTTTAGCCCAAGGGAGGGGCATGCCCCTCCTCTTGATTCCGCCACTGATCCTGGATGCAAAAATTCATACTAGCAATAAGTACCTAACTTTGCAACAAAAATGGAATTTATTGCAAATAAATAAATAAATGAAAAAAATAAGAAACTAAAAAAGGTGATGCCGAGCATTTCTTCTTTATGATTTCCTTTTGGTATTTGAGGGGGGAACTCTTTGGACTATCTCTGAGGCCAACTTTAGGAGTCCCCTAAATAAATGAATTCAGAAAAATAAGAAATCACCCTTTAATTCCATAAGGACAGCTTTATAGAGATAGACTTGTCTGAACTTGCCTTGAGAAGACCTTTTTTTGAAATCCATCCCTTCTGATATGCAAGAAAAAATAGTTTGGAGGGGGTGGCCACGGCATAGATAAGTAATTCAAATTTTTTTAATAGATTTTTTGAAAGATTTACTTAACAAAAATTTAATCTGTTTAACTATCCAGTGACAATCATCCATTCTAAATATTGATATTATTTCCCTCTGAAATCTTGAGAATGCAGTGAACCAACCTAAAATATTGAAAAAGTGTTTAGGGGGCAGAAAATTACCGATCATCTGTACCTTTTTATTCGGTAGAACTTTTTCCTCTATTTTAGTACACTCTTCTGAGGTTGGGCTCAAGCAAGTAATTTTGAAATATATTCAAATATCTGTTGTCATCAAAATAAAATTATTTATTTATGCAATGAAAGCAAAGCTTCTGAAAATTAGAACTGAAATTACTTTGGTTTTGGCATCATGAAGTTCAAGAATTTTCCAGGTACCTACTGGAGTTGCCACTCCACTCACATAGACTGGAGTAATACAGCCTACCTAAGTAGAGCACGTAATTTTAATACTTTACTATTTAGCCTCTAACTAAGCGATGGATTGGAAGTAAGCTTTTCATTAGATCTGTTATTATCTCGCATTTCTTGCAAATTGCTCCAAGGTTAACACCTAGTCTACAGCTACCATGAGGCCGTGTCAAATTTAATATTTTTTCTTTCCCTGACTGTGAGAGCTAAGCATCCCCATAGAAATAAGAAAGACATGTGCAGCGATAAAAAGTTTTAATATGAAACTGGGCTGCTCTAGCTTTCACTTTTCACAACTCAAGGGTGGTTGCCAACAATCTCAGATGCCATCAGAATCAGGTCAAACGGTTGCATCTGAATTCAATAACCTCTACACTACAAGGCAACAGTCGGTAAGTTTTCAAAAAGCTGCTGTCAAAACAGAGGGAGACGATTATAAGAAGATCTTTCGATGATAGTGATAATTACACTGTATAATCTTATAATCCTGGGAATGTCAAACAATGACTTAAGTTGAGACTCGAAACAGACAACAGTCATTGAAAAACCTCATTGGGCAGCATGTAAACGGAGCGATAAATACACAGTTAAAAGAAACGATGTCTCAATCTCTCAGAATAAAGCGGTGTCAACAGTGACAAAAGTGTCTTGCACAACATTTGCAACATTTGGTTTACTCTGCAGGAAATACGAGCACAAAGATATTTTCCTAAAAGTTCAATCGTAACCAAATGACTGAATGATTATGAAATCAATTGACCATGATCCATCCCGCTTTCACTTTCACATTCTCTCAACAACCTGCGGTTTGATGAATGAACATGACAGAGCCGCAGAAAAGTCAAGACATTCTACACCCGCTCAAATTGGATTAGAATAGAATCGGGAAAGGTGGAAAAAACAAATTTAAAGAATGACTTACTGAATTCCAGCAAATGAGATCATTCGTTTCAGGATCTTCCACCATCCTCCATAATTTGGCCAAAAAGGCAGAGACATTCGTCCCTACCTCCGTAATTGGGTGCATTTTGAATGATGAATAAATAGCTTACGAACAATATCTGAGCATACGGTGCACAAAATTAAACAACATCCGTCACAAAACTGAAATTACCACCGACACTGGTTGTCACACACGATAACGGAAATATACGAGCCTGAAATTGGGGCCTCATTAGGGTATGGAAAATGTACAGCTGGACGCGGGATGAAAAACAAAATAACTGATTTTAGTTCTTTCACTATTGATTGAATGCTTGATTTTAACGAAGAACACCACACGTTTCACATATTACGCGAAAACCGAGAGGAAAATTATTTCAACACTACTGAAGCAACTTTTCAACACGATTACGCAGTGACAATTCACAAGGAAACCATTTTGTGAAATGATCGTTGGATGTTTCGTTCGGGGACGGTGACCGCTGAGTAGACGGTGGCGCAACGTAAATAAACAAACCTTCGATGTCTGTCATGAAAGGATCCCTCCACTACCCTCTACCCCTGCGTCGCCATGGAAACGGATAAACACCTTATCAAAAAATGTTGTTATTGTTTTGGTCGGACTTCCTTATCACCAAATTCACCCACGATTCGACTGCAGGAACCAGATGGCCTTGAGCGCCTGTAAAATTTTTTAGCGGTGCACAAGGTTGTGCAAACATTAGGTAACATATAAGTACACCACAGAGATTGCACGAAACTTGAAATTTTGAGCACCTAAAATAATAAAATTATATATATTTTATTACATGAGATTCTCTATAATCTCTCTAAGGACCCCTCGAGAGTGATATAATAAAAATCGCTCTTCTTAATAACAGCAACGAAAAGAAAGATTTTTATGACTCAATTTCATTATATTTCAGTTTCACCAAATGAAGGTGCTTCATAATTCCCCCTTAGCTCCTGACTTGATGGCACACAGCTTTGCTAATGAAATCGGCCTTGCTGGATCAAAGGAACCACCCTGTTGAATGAGCATGTCTCATTTTTCTTGACATTCACTGATAAAAAAGAGAGGAAAACCATTACAAAGTTACGACGGAAACCCAAAAATTGATGTAGTAGAACAGTTTGAAGTTTTGACCCCAACTAAGTTGTAAGTCAGGAGGTCTTTAACCCAAAATTATTTTGTTCTTTTCCAGATGAGAGCCAGTGATTTGAGGGTCGCAAAAAATGAGTGAAAGTTCTGCACTAACAAGTTTGAGGTAACCGAGATACACTTTTAAATATGTGAAATAGAATTATGGCAAGTGATTTTTAGAGAACTTCATCCTTGCCATTATAGGATTTAATGTAAAAAACTTTTTAGATCCCAATTACCAGGGAGGTATTTCCTCAACTTGAAGCTGCTCAAATTTGAATGAACAATAGAATGTGTTCTATAAGACCAATTGTAGTTTAATTATTTATGTATGTATGTATTTATGTAAGATAATGGATTATGTATTTTCTTTATTAATAAATGAAATCTGATTCTGATCTGAATTCTGAAAATGCCAATAGTTTGCTTTGAAAATTTACTTATAGAATACAGCTAACTCACTACTTTAACTTTTGCATGGGTGAAGAAAAAACAATTGTGAATCAAATGAAATTTTCTTTAAAATCTAAGGACAAAATTTTGCAAGAATATATTCCCTATTGTTTGGATAATACTATTGGGCAGATGGAAAAAATTTGCTTCTTTTGACATGATTTTTTAATCATTTCTACTTTCTGTTATTTTTCATACAGTTTTGATTACTCCCCACAAGATAATGTATACTCAGTTAGCGGTAGCAGCCTCCTGAACCGATTGGATTCAGATGATCTGCTGCAACTGAAGTTGTTTTTCTTTCCTCATGAACGGGCTGGATTAAATGGAGAAAAGAAGTATCGTTACAGTATAATGCAACAGGAATCATCATACTGTGGTATACCTTTGAATAAGGAAGAATTTGCGAGCGCTATCAATACAATAATTGGTATTTTTATCCATTGATCATTCTTTTTAAGTTGGATATAAAAGTATGAAAGATGAAAAGAAAAAATCATGCAGAGGGAATGAAACTGACGATTTGGCAAAGTTTTCATAGCTAACTAGAGGAAAATGCTGCACAGAAATAGATATGAACGAACTCGATAAAACTGTTAATGAACTGTCATCTACGCACGCACTCAACAAAACAGATTTTTAATTATTATAAAATACATTTTTCTTGATAAATTAACTGAGTAACATTCTGTGTTTCTGTGCCAGCGAGTGACATTTTTGAGACAGCTCTCTTGGTACTTTAAAAATACATAAATACACGTACAGACAGTATTGAAAAAATGTTCTTCGTTTTCCTAAAAAAAAAGATGCATGTTGATGAGGAGGGGTTTGAAGGAGGTACTTTCATTCCCCTCAAAAGTGCATTGTTTAATTTATTGTTAGTTTTATTTTTAGTTTTATTAATTATGATGACGATGCATGAGTAAAAACATCATCTCATTTTCTAAAAATTCATGACTTGGTAAGTGCCTCCGATGCTCATAGACATGTGGAGACCACATTTGAAGAATACTCTTCTCAATAAGGAGATTTTCCTCCGGAAAAATGTGTGTGTTGTTCCCCAGTTTGATCATAGGTACAAGGGTAAATTTTAAAGGAAGTTTTCTATGAGGTATCTCTCTGTTTTCTCATTCACTATCGTTTCATTTTTACATTTAGTGAGAGTGTCCCGGATGCATTGTGAATTTACCAAATCTTCCTTTTTAGCAGATGCTTGCTTTTCAGGCACTGTGGAATGGAACACAATCAGTGTGGTAGAACCCTTTTCAAAGCACTTTTAAAAGACTCAAACTCACTGATAGTGAGAATTTCTACAACGCTTGAGAAGTGGGCATGCTTGGTGGAGAGAGACATTTGGTAAATGTACCATTACTATGCAATGCTTTGGCCAAATTTTAAAAAAAATGATTGCTTGTCAGAAAGCTGCACTAAGATTAGAAATGCTTGAACACTGGTTTGAAATTACTCATAGCTACTGACAATTTTTGAATTATAGAAATAGGTGACCTTATTACTTTAATTCCACCCTAATTACTACACATCAAAGCCTTGAGAATTCATGTTGAAAATAGTCTGGCTAAAAAGCATTTTCTATCTCATTATTCCAAAAGCAAAAACTGCTTAAGTTTGTTGATCTGCAGGAAGTTGCGTCTATGCAACAGCAGCTGCAAATTTGTTCGAAAACTTATCCAAAAACAACGATGAATCACAAAGTAATCTGATATGGTGGGTGCAAATATTGGACGCTATGATAGAGGATTGGGATAAAAGTAAAGCTATTTTGAAACACATCGATGAGGAAAGTGTAACAATTTTGTCTGCAGAGCATAGCAAGGTTGGTGAATCAAACGTTTAATCATACAGAAAATTGTATCAGAATTTTTTTAAACTATTTGGCCTCACTTAAGTTAACAGCAAAACTTGGATTGACAGACTGAATTTTCAGGAAATACAGTTCATACACTCTCTCTTCAAACTTGGCAACTGATTGTTTTGAATTCCATCATTTTGTTGTGTTTTGTATAAGAGACGCAAAACTCAAAGATGAAATATCTGATGACATCCATCGAATCTGTCTTAAACTGTTTATCCGTCCAATAGATGAACAATCAAATTAAAGCCCATTACACAGGGTTCAACTTTTCGTTGAACTTTCCTTCTGACTTCATTGGATGAAAATTTTTACCATATAATTTAAATAGGAAAATTTTCCATTTGGTCGAGTTGGAGGACGGAAAATTGAACCTTGTGAATTAGGCTTGAAAGAGAAACTTAAGTACAAGCGAGTGAGTATTCTGAGATAAAAGTTTCCGCGTAGCAAAAGAGGTCCATACCCTAAAAATCTACTGAAACGAAAATGAGTTTAAAGATATTGGTTTATTTGCATTAAACATGACACTGAAGGTTCATCCGATTACCCTTTAATTTATATTCTCATTAATTTTAATTTCTCCCAGGAAATTATGTCACACACTCTGCAGATGGTTTCAACTAGTTATTGGTAGACTCCTTTCTATGCAGATTTGCAGTAAAGTTTAACCGATGAAAGCACTTGGCTGTAAACTTCAATTATGAAAATAATGGCACAGTTATAATCTGATTGAGTAAAAGTGTCTGAATATTAAATAAATCAATGTAGGCAATCTTCTACTTTCCAGTTATAATTCTTCAACTCACAAAAATTAATTCAAAATGTATTTTGTCCATGTTAAGTTAAATGTAAGTGCCTCAAATGAGATACCTATGCACAACTGAATCTACTGTATTTGAAGATTTATGATTTTACAGAGAGAAACGATTATTAAGATAATCCCAGTGGAGACAGAGCTATCATTCTGTTACATCATCATTTGTAAATATGGCAGAGTAGGAATTTACAATAAAAATCTGCAACTCCTTGACTCGTACAGTGTTGCGCTGGCAAAGGAGGGTAATGAGGAGGTACAAAAAATATCCATAAGCTGCTGGGTCACTGATGCAATCTATCTTCCGGACGCAGTGGTTTTGCTCATCGCTGGTTCAAATCGCAGTCTCCATTTGTTTGATATCTCAGGACTCATTCACGTTCCAATTGTGACGATATCTGGTAATTGTTTTTCCTCCATTAAAAATTCATAATTCTCTTGGAATACTTGCACGACTAACACCGAATTATATTCGAAAGTTCAATTTTGAGGATTAGTGAAAAATAATACAATCCACCCAAATACCAAATGTCTACGTCCATTATTGATGGAGTACTGTCCTTTGACAAAGAAATTAGTTAGAGAGGATACTACGGTTTCTTCAGTCTTAGGTTCATCACAAAGTAATCTAAACACCTGGTCACTCCAAAGACATCACCGATAATACCAAAGTGGGAGAAGTCATAATATGCATAATCCTCAGAGATTTTACTGCGAACTACAGGAATATTTTCTTTCTTACGCTTCAGCTGATCAGCACCTAATTTTGCTCCTTATCTCCGACTTTTGTTAGAGTATTGACCAATTTTAAATTATTTCTAACCTTTGAAAGACAATTTTCACCATCAGGCAAGGGCCATAATTGGAGTGGGTCTCCGCCACCGAGTGCCAGATAATCAACATATTGCTGTAGAATAAATTTCAACCAAGAGTCGCAACAACTGCAGAAATATAGAATGGACATAATAATATAAGGCGACCAAACTTTTTTGGAATTCTGGGGCAACTGCAAAACAAACTTCTGAGTCAGGCTAGTAAAAGACAATTTAAAAAAAAAAATTTGTAATTGAAAAAAGGTGTAGTCTATCATGAAGTCATAGAATGCAGGGGAATTTCGGCTTAAGTGTGCGAAATTCATGAAGCTAACTATATTTATTGAATTGTTTCAGGTATGCCCAATTCTCCAAGCTGTTTGCACTACAGTAAGGGATCACCTTCAATGCTGTTCATAGGCGACGACCATGGAAACATCACAATCCTCAGTTTTCTTAAACCGAAACACTCTCTGTTCAGCAAGAATTCTGTAGATGAAAGCAGTAACTACTTCTGGACAGTAAGTGGGCAAATTTTCATAGGGAATGAGATAAGATAAGTAAACCTCATGGAAAAAGCCGATCAATGTCTTTTACATTTTATCATCAATTTGATAGTAAAATAGAAAAAAACTTTACTAATAAGAATTTCTCGAAAACGAATAATAAAAAATAAGCATTCTTCATTGGGTCCTTTAGGAAATCAGCATCTCAAAAATGATATAACATAATTGTGACACAAATAAAATTGCGGCCAATCAGTTTTTGTGAATTTTTTTTTTTTTTTTTTAAATTTAGCGTCAAAATGTTTACACGCGATGAAACCCTCTTAGCTTAAATTCTCTTCCGAATATCTTTTTAGCAAGATTCATGAGAGAATCTTCAAATTTCTTTTTAAGAAAATACTAACAGACTTTTGAGAAGTTTCAAGTCAAACTTAAGAGAATTAAAGAAGAAAGAGCAGAAAAACCTAAGGTCCTCACTGAATCCGAAATTACTGGTTTTATTTTATTCAATTTCCTACTTGCAATTTGAGTTACAGATAGGTCTGGTCCACTTTCCTTCTTTATCCCTTCTAAAAATAAAGAAAAAGTCGTAAAAATGAGAGCAATAATTTGTATTTTTCGATTAAGTTCTTAGGGTTACAGTTAACTGAATAAAATTTTCGCTCCTTTATAAAGATGTCATTTAAACGTCAGTTGAAAGGATTTTCGTGCAAACAGAAGCGGGTACAGGGAAAAAAATCTTTGTCGGAACTAAATTTCTCATTCCTTGTTGATCTTTTAATTGATCACTGAAGGAGCTACAAGAGCAAAGTGAGTATGTATCAATATCAGGAAAGTGTGGAGTTCACATGGACGCAGTGCAACAAATCTTGTATTGTCGAGACAACAATACTATTGCCAGTTGCAGCTTGCATGGAGAAACTTCTCTGATCATTCAACATATGAACAGTTTGCGGACTCCGTACATTTATCGACTCTCTAAGGTAATTTTTCTGGCATAATTTTTAGTTTTTTACACATCTTGAATTCATTTCTAAAGGTGGTGACACCTATTATTATCAATTTTGCAGGAGCTGCGATTTTTTTGAAGATATGTCATGGTACACATAGGCCATTTGTTATTCATAAAACGCTTTCAGAGGGTCAACTGTAGCAATCTAAATTCCCAAAAAATTTTAATCTTTTGGGAGAGACAGGTTTTCCAAATTGAATTTTATTTGATAAACGATGCAAATTGGGGAGAAGGGGGGAACAAGAAATTTGAAAACGTAATTTGTCATCTGTGAGAACAAATAACGTTTCAAAATTACTCGATGGTAAAAATGTGGTACATACTTCAATTTAATTTCTAGGGCATCAAGTGTTTCTATCTCAATCATAAGCTACGAATCTTGATAACCGGCAGTTCCGATAATCTTGTGAGAGTCTGGAATCCAGTGGTTCCAAGATTACCAATTTGTTCTTTGAGTGGGCACAAGGCACCTATTGTGGACGTAACCCTCTTGCAACAAAGCAAAACAGTTCTCAGTTTATCAGCGGATGGGGTAAGTTGAAACAACACGATAACAAATGATAACTCTACAAAAATAATGACAGAAAATAAAAAACAATAAACTCTCTTTGATTTCTCTTTAGTAATTTGAGTTCTGACTGTTTCTGTGAGAAAGAGTTTTGAGAGATTTATTCCTCAAGTCTCTTTAGAAATCATTTGTGATGAATTTTTCCATTGCTCCTAAAATTATCCTGAATCAGCATGAGGAATTATTGGACAAACTTTGTAGTGTTTCTCAAGTTTTTCTTTTCATTTCAGCTACCTGACATTGTTGAGCTTTAGTTTAGAACACACACTTATTTTATTTAGGGGAACTAATATAAGTGAAAATGTCGAATGTGAAAAATGAAGGAAAACATTTTGACAGAATTTTGGTCACAGTTAACATTTACATTCAAGAAGAGAATACTGGAGTTAAAAGGTCATGTTTGTTATCAGATTCTAAAAGATTGGGACATAGACAACCAGAGTTGCATTCAGACAATAGACTTGACTTTCCCTGCTTTCGGAATCCCTGGAAAATTGGTGGAGTATGGAAGAAAGTCAATTTACCCTGGCGCACCTGACAAAGACCCACCTCTTCTAAGACAACCAAAATCTGGCCTAATGCTGATTACTGATATTTCCTCCTTGGACATTGAATCATGTTCTTTGGCAAACGCCGATCACAAGAATGAAGAGGCAGAAGTTGCGACAATTAATAAGTAAGTCTGAATTACAAAGCCAATAAAGAAATTAAGAGTTTAACACTAAAATAGAACCTAATATGGTTACGGCAATTCATATAATTTTGCAAAATTTCAGAATTACCTAAAACATTCCTGCACTTAACTACTATACTCCTTCCAAAAATATTACACCATTGTAAAAAGAAACATATTAATTTGACTTTATTAATAAAAGTTGACTACTGCAAAAGAGGTACAACCTTGATGTTGTGAAGGGTTTAAGCACATAAATAATTGAGATAATAATCCTCTTGTTTTCTCTTAAAGCGATGAAATTGGCATCTACTCGTCGATACTCGTTGCTTGCAGCAATAACATTGCAACAGTCAAACTAATTGAAAGTTCTCTCCAAACTCCGCATCATGGCTCTTTATCGGAGGCTGACCCTCAGCCAAAAACTCGACAGCGAACAAAAAAAGAAAATGTAAACGATCAACAACCAGAACTTCCCTCCACCCAAATGTGAGTGTAACAACTTTTTAGTTGTAGTTTTTTATTTATTTATTTATTTGTTGGGTTTCTCAAAAGAAGTTGTCATGTTCTTTGTTCATAAACAATGCTTACACAATGTTTCATTGTTGATATTGCATGTTCTTTAAAATTTTTTTGAATTTTTGTTAATAATTTTAGGTTAGTTAAAAGGATGGATTCGAAAATATTTTGAAAAACAGAGCAATGATGTCTTGTAAAACTTAAAAAATACTAGTTCTCACATTTTTTCAAGTATTTCATAAGAACTGATAGATAGCGTCTTTACAAAATGTGGGATCCCCCGATTTTTGTAGAGACAAAGCACACAATATGCGAAAATAGCATAGGCGTTGATGAAAGTAGAAACTACACGATCTTATACTAGCTAATGCCATCGCATTAGCTAGTGTAGTAAGGAAAGTGATGACTTTCAATTACAGGAAGGGAATAAAGGTGAACCACTCGGAAAAAGGAGCGAAAACTGAACGACATGGATTTTTACATCCATCCAATCAAATGTTACAGTCTTAATAAACGCCTTTCAGAGAGCCTGGGAAAATGACAATAAAGGACAATCATGTGCACTTCTACATTGTTTGTTGCAATTTGACCAACCCAGTTGTACAAGGCATTTCCAACTCTCATTAACGATAAAATTTTCTATGATCACTCATCCGAAACACCTAGTTCTCAAACGGAGCTTTAAACCCAAAACAATTTTCAGCTCTGAAAAGGATGATATACCTCCACAAAGTTCAAAACCAGAGACACTACTGGGGAAGAATGCGCTGGAGGTCCTCCCTCAAATCAAAATGCAAAGAGCATCAAATCTGGGTCTGAACCACAGCAGGGTTGAGCAATACTCTTCAGAAAAGCAGGTAAGTAGTCATAAGAAAACGGAATTCTGATTTTTTCAAAATGCCATGAAGATGGCTGACTTGCGACACCGAACAGAGCATATCAACTAACAAAAAACCAAGAGGCTCTAGATTTTTGAAAATAAAATTGCGAAGTTTCGAAAATAGCTATATGACAAAATTTTAACACACGCTGAAAGTAAGCTTATTTTCTATCAATTTATGTCCATTCTGATAATCTGTGAAAATTCATTATTTTATATTAATTAACGCAAATTCAAGGCATTATAAAAATAATTAAAGATTTGAACAATTACTGGACAGCCTATTGTGTTGATTGCTCGCAGCAGTTGTTTAACATTTAAAATAGTAAACTTGGTCTTAAGTATTTGAAAGATTTATCATCTTCCAAATTCTAAGACATACTGGCTTGTCAACTACGGTATTTTAGTGTATTTTCTTTTTCAGATTCAATTTCTTGTGGAACAATGCACACCGCACTTGGCGCTCAAGATGAGCAATTTGGACCAACTTCAAATTCAACTTCAACCTCCGAAAAATGGATCACACAGACTTCAGGCACTGTTTAAGACTGCTGACATGCCTGGTCCAGAGAGAACCAAAGTTAAAATGAAGTTGGACCGACAAGAACTCACCCCATCAAGAGTTTCGTCTTGCTCACTAACGTCTCACATAACAGCACCTTCATTGAAATCTTAGTCCCAACAGACAAAACTTCGGGAACAAGATATAAGAGTACTGTTATCCGCTTAGAAAAGTTTTAAGCTTAATTTTAGGAAAATTCAAGCTTTTAAAATTAAATTTCAAGGGAAACTGAATAATTTTGAATGTTGATTATATGTTTAGAATTTATTTTTCTCTTTTCTTGTGTGTATGCTTCAAAGCAGGGAGAAAATTATATCATGACAACTACTGTCCCTGCCTAGGACAAACAAACAGCTAAAGATCCCAGTATTCACCCCTTGTAAGCAAGCAATGAAGATAGCGGTCAAAACCGCATGTATCCACCAAAGACAGGGATTGAGACATGCTCGATGATGATGAGTTAAAGATGAGCTTCAAAGAACATAGGAACAAAGTTTGCAAAAACATGGGTTTTGCTTTTAATTTTTAATTGGCTCCATTACGACTGCCAGTATATTTCAAAAGTTCATTCATAAAATATTTCAGAATTCACTGTATGATAGTCAGGGACTAATTTCCTACTCTGAAATAGTTAAAATAAATTTGGTAGACTTGAAAAATCCGTTTTGTGTTATGGATCAAAATCAAAAACAGAATTTCTGTAAGATATGTATGATACCTCTATGTTTGTTGATTTAGCCTGAAAATTGGACATTTTTATTTTTCAATCTCTGATATTTTATGTTGAAAAAAGAAACCAAACGATTTCATAAAAAATACTGGGTACTTTTCACAGCAAGCAAAAATTAAACTGCGATTAAAAATGGCCGAGTTCATGTAAAAATTATAAAACAACTTTATTTTTGCTTCTGATAATTACAAATGGCCCTTCTGAGGGCTCAATCCTAGCAAGGTTGCTGAATTTGCGACAAAAAGGGCAACGCTAGGTAACAATGAACTATTGATTAATTACAGGAAATGAGAATGGCAGCGACAACTCTGTGCCATGCCGACCCTCAAATGGAGGGCAAAATTGAGTGAATCAGAACATTAAAAGAATGAAACAGTTTAAAACATTTTTCTAATACTTAAATTAACACTTACGCGAGTGTGAAAATTATGAAGGACAGTTATTTGACGATGATCAATGGTGCTAAAAATCACCAGACAGGATTTCCGAATCTCTGAATTGCTTTTACTGATGCTCCCAAATCAATTTGTACTTTCTTGCGCATATAGAAAATTGGACAATCACGGCTACAAAAACAAAAGACATCAAATTATATTACAGTAAACCTTAAATTGAACCTTAAATACCTAAAGACTAATGGGTACCTGATCTGGTATAGGTATAAGGTATAGGGTGTGATAGAATTATCTGACTGGTTGCTTGCTTCATTCGTTTTTTATTTCATGCCTTTACAGGGCCACGTAATCAATTGACTAAAAACATCTCTTCCATAACTGACAACTGGTCAATTATCCAGAATGATGGAGAAAATGAACTAATACTCTATTAATATCCTATCTATTATAATGTTACTCTATTTCACCTTAATCTTGTCTTGTGCAAAAATCAAATTCAAAAAAATTGGCCTGATGTAACTTCCCTAAGAGTCCATTACTCTGATCGCTGCTCAAGAAGTCCTTGTTGACTTAACTTAGAAATGAGTTATGCAAGTTTGCGACATTGCGGACTTCCCATCATGAATTTCGATCAAGAAACTAATGGGTGGACTTTCTTGAGAATTTTTTTTTTTTTGGACGGAAATTCTGTAAAAATGTGAATCATTAAAATTGCCTTGTTTTCCTTTAAAAAATAATACAGAAAAAGAAATGTTGAAGCACTAAAATAGTAACATACATAAGTTTCCAGGTTTAGTTTTTGACCTGCAAAATTTCTTGGGATATTTTGCCAAATGTTTTTTAGCAGAGGAGAGACCAGAGAAGAAGTCTTTATAGAGCAGTTGATTCTTCTTTCAATTCATCCTTAATATAAGATTTCTTTTCTTGAAATAAAGTTCACTTATCCTTTATTTTACATCAATTGCAGTTTGAAAATAGGGGTGTTCAAACGAATTCTTGCCGGAACGCTATCGATATCGTCTCTTATTGGAACTGGCGGCAGTACCGACAATGGCGATGATATCGACAACAGCCGGCCTTGTTGGATTTTTGAGAGCTCGCACTCAATGCATTGTTGCCCCGTGTGTCGGTTTATTAGATCGCCTGGCGCTGTGGCGCGTAAAATAGATGTACAAATGGCAACAGCTTATTTTCGCCAGCTCCGAAAACTCTGATCGCTATCGGCAAGAGCGCTTTTATCGTAACTTTTTCCTAACGGAACTGTTTCGGTAGCTTACCGACAGCCGATAGAACAGCCCTGGTTTGAAAATGCTTTTTTGGTTTGCTCAGATTGTTAGTTTTTTTTTCAGAAGGAGGTTATAGCTTAGAGGGAAAATAGCATACCTGGTACATATGACTTCTTCGTGTAAACTTTCTTGACAACGCTGACACTGAGTCCACAGTCGGCAGAACTTTTCTTCTAAGTGCTTATATCTGGAAAATTAATACATGAGATGAATATTTTTGGTAGAAGATAAGCAATACATGAGTTGTAAATATTAAAAATGAAAAGAATAAAATTGGTCCAATGGGTCACTAAACCATTAACGAATTTTGACTTGCATATACATTTTTCTGAAGGTTGATAATGCGTAAAACACGAGTCGCACATTAAAAACAGAGATAAGTATCTCCGAAACCAAGGAATATGCAGTTCAAAAAGCGCAACTTTTCCGTAAATTAAAAACGCCCTGATTTCATGACAGACCAAATGATGCCATCTGGCACCAATCAGAGGCATGCACCCATTTTTCCAATTTCCGTCAAATGCCTTTCTACTCCTCACAGATGAAAACAATAGGAAAGTCGAGACTATTCCTTCAGAATCAAAGAATAAAATCTCATTCATGTTATCTGCAGTTAACAAGCAACAATTCTACATTGGATTACTTTAATTTTGACGAACATCAGTGGAAAATGAGAGGAGATAGCAATATGACTGCTGTAGTACATCACTTCAATCATTTATCCGACATTCTGGCATGTTTGAAATTCTTTCGAGTCTTCAGACTTTTCAACAGTGGGCTTGCCTGGGATTTTGGCTGCAAAAATATGCAATAAATTTCTGCGTAATTTCCTCATCTGGTAGATACTTTCAAAATATTAAATTAAAAATACAAGGTTTAAAGACCCATTGCTAAATTAATACTCATCAACGGTGAAAGTGGCAAAATGCAAAACTTGTATGTGGAATTTTGAAATCAGTATCAATAAATCGATGAATAAAGTAGCAATTAAGGATATTATTAAAATTTGTCTTGCAGTAAATCACTTTCACTTTATGGGTTTTTACAAAATTCTTGCTCAAGACAGCAGTATCTTGTTTGCCAACCTAACAACTTTAATAGGGAATGGGTGCATGTAGCGGTCCTAAGTGTGGCTATTGCCAGGGAAATTTTTTATGCTCCATATCGATTATTTAGTAAAAACGTAAAAAGGTAGGTGACAGATTGCACAAGATAAATTAACAAAAAAAAATACATAAAGTAATAACGCACTTGCACATTCTTCTAAAAAACTTTTCCGGGTTGGTTTTGGGCACGTAGCCCATCTTCAGCAATATATGTAAACGCAACTCGCTTTAATTGCTGAAGATGGGCTTTGTCCCGCCCAAAACCAGTCAGGAAAATGAATGTATAAAAATGAACAAATGAGTCGTTAATTTACTTATTTTTTCTTGCTGATTTTTCAGTCTCCTCTTGTTTCATACTGAATCTTACACAAAGTGATTTCAAATGATTTTTTCATGGATTACATATCCTACCAATAAACTTAGTAAAATATTCAACTAATTTCAACTTTTTCCTGCAACATTCCGTTAGTCGCTTGATATCATGGTAAGACTATGGTTGGAAAAAGGGAAAATGACCTGAGAACCAATTATTATGACTTACTTATACATTTCTTCCTGATAAAATAGAGCTTCTGTTTTGGAGCAATGGACACAAAGAGCTTGCTTCTCAAGATTAGAAGGCAATACAGCACGGCAACCAAGGCACGTCTCTTTCTTCTTTGTAAAAGCAGCTAAAGCTCCAACTTTGGACGTAACGACTGTTTTTGTTCTTGTATGGTCCCCTCCTGAATACAAAAATTTCAGCAATCATTATCTATTCAAAATTCAATAATTCAATCAAAGCGTAAGTCTGCCAACAACAAACACTTACAGCTCAATTCAGACAGTCACACAGAGGTGGAATGTAAACAAAGATATGAAGACGGAGCACTCGTATCTCATAATACAGGGGAGAAGTGAAGTCGCCCTGGCGCTCTGTTCTTGAGTGAATGTGTAAATAAGCGCAGAAATCAATGGCGGCAATCAGAAATTTGATTCAACCTTGTCCTCTTGATTTTTGCACATTTCTTACTCTAAACTCGTTTTAAATGCCTAAAACGACAATAAACCTACTTTGGCTCAGTAACAAGCAAGGATCTAAGATGAAGTTAGTTTTTCTCTTACTCATAGTGGTCCTGTCAGTTCTAACAGGCTGTTACAGTCGTAGATGATCGTTACGCCCAAATGAGATTAATTGGTCCATGATGGACCATAAATAATCTGAAGTTAAAAAAATATATGTGGGTAAGTAAATTTGAGCGAAAATCAACCTAGAATACTTTGTGTATGCGAGAGTATACCGTTGCCGCCGCTCTATTTGAATTTCAAACTTGTCCCCATTTCGCTGCCAATCCTCCAGCTAGTTGGAGAGGTGGCTTCATTTTTTTCTTCTAGCGCTCCGGCTTTACCTCTTTGAATGTAAAGCTGGAAGTAAAAAATTTGATTCGATTACAGTTGCTGTGTAATAGTGTCATAACACTGGACATCAGCATACGGCACTTCTTTCAGCTTTCGGTTCGCAAAGATTTTATTCAAACTTCCCATTCAACTCTATTCAGTTGGCAGCGTCAATTAAAAGTTGGATGGTAAGTTGGAGGTATCATCAAATTCAAGTTTCTGTTCAACTTTTCGTCTGATTGTAGTGTCCTCAAGCTAGTATCTCACAATCCCACTTTTCATCTAACAAAAGCAGAAAAAAGTTTGACAAGAAGTTTGACCATCTCGATTGGGCTTTAGTAAAGCAAAACTTTTTAAAAAGATGGACCTAAAAAAACACAGATTTGATTAAATACTACCTCAGAGATCATTTTCAGTCTCAACAAAGATTACTTACGTAAAAGTTCTGATTCAGCTTTGTCTCCAAGAATAGGGGAGAATATTCTGAGCAAGGGTTTGGAGAGCTGGTTTTCTAGGTAATAGTTTGCATCGATGGGCATATTATTTTCTAAAACAAAAATTGGATCCTGCAACAAACAATTCAAAAACTTGTTGAGAAGGTGAAAAACATTTTTGACAAACCTTTCCAAACTCACCAATCCTCCTTTAGCTTACATAGACTCTTTTTGAACTTTTGAAAGAAACCTGTTCTCTAATTTCGGAGACCGGTTGAGGTCTACAAAAATAATGAGCAAACGCAAAAAATTATTCGCCAGAAAATGTGAATTTTTTTTTTTACCAAAGCACAGAGACTCGAAGAAACCTTGAAAAAATTCATTCGCTTTCAGTTTAAAAATTACACCAAAACAATAAAAGGATTTTGAAAAAATTTCAATAGAACTCACTTCTGCTTTTTCATAGGCAGGGGTCCCTTTGCCAGCGGCACAAAAGACAAATGGAACACGATCACCTAGTTTTGGGGCTGTTCCAGCATCACGCTTTTTCATCTTCTTAGCAAGCTCAACATGAGCCTGTTTTGCTGCATAATCTGACTTGGTGAGCTCTTTGGTTATTACCAGCTGAGAGATGTCCATGCGGTTACATAGAAGATCACTGATTACTTTTTTGGCGTATGCTACCGCACTCACTTGGTCTCTGAAAAATACAACCAATTATAAAATTAGAAATTTTTGTCTTCAAATTATACCTTGAGCTACTCCTGCAACAGATGACGCAACTCAGAGCAAATTTTCAGACGCAGTAAAAAGAACATTGCACCAGTAAATAAATAAAATGCAAAAGGTAATTGAGAAAATTATTGGAAAACACACCTGTCTATTAGAAGTTTTTGGAGACACATGTTCATGACGTTGGCGACTAGAGGGCAATTATCACGACGAACTGTTTCTAGACCCTTGCAGTCCATTTTATCATATTTGTCAGGTCGCGTGAAGTACAAACCAGCATATCTCTTTTTGTTGATCAATAAGTAAGGGAAGTATACCTGCAAATAAACATACAAAAAAAAGTTGAGAAAATTTAGCATTAATGAAAACAGATGAAATTATTGGTTTCAAGAACTAGGATGAAGTTAGCAAAATGATTCTATCAGACAGGCAGTTCTTGTAACATAAGTTAAGTTCGAGGAAAAAAGTAAACAAATTTCACATTTTTTAAATTCAGATTTGATTCTCCATTTAGAATTAACTAGCAACTGACAAGTCGACTTTCATCCCTTTCTTGATTCAATTCAAATCTATTCATTGCTTGCTTTAGGTATTTTATCTTCCTTAATCCAATTTATCTTTTATCTTATTCTTCATTTCACCCCAATATCTGGCTTTGAACAAGCAATTTAAGGTGAATCTTCAGCTGTAGTTCTGAAAAAATCCACCACGTCGCGCTGTTAAAATCCGACTCTGAAATCAGTGATTATTTAAATAATTCTAGCAGCATACGTCTGGAATCCTTAGAAACAAACGCAAGCTTTGAAAGTTTAATAATAAAAGCTATAACTTGATCCCAGTTTCTCTTACGGGATATCTGTAAGTGCGAGAGAGACAGCTCACGGTGGGAGAGAGATATCTGCAACTGCTGACAGCGATCAATCGCGATTGGTTGCATCAAGGTAATCATGCTTAACCCTACTTTTTTCTGGGATCAAGTTTTAGAGTTCAGAAATTACTTTTCACGTCGTTTTCATAAAAGCTCAAGGACTCACAAGGAGCTGTACGGACTCTAATAGCGTGGACCAAAAAATCAAAACACTGCGATGGTGCCCCCGCGCGGAGAAATTTCTTACTTCACGGAGCTGTAAATAAACCTTAAGTGACAATTTAATTTCTGTAAGCTGCAAAATAGTTTCCCTTTCCTACACGACTTGCTTTTTGGAATAGAAATTAAAATTAAAACCGAAAATTAGAACAGACGTACTTACTTTTTCAAATTCTAATTTTATGGGGTTTATGAATTTTGATGTGACATACTCGGCAGCTTCACGCCCCAAGTTCATTGTCTCTTCTAGGTTGTCAAATCCAAAACGTACCATTACAGAATCAGTATCACCATAAATAACCTGGAAAATTTGAATAATAAAAGAAATGCATGATAGAAAATTCAAAAAAAAAAAAAAAAAAAAAAAAAAAAAAAATACTACAGGATTCATTCCAACATTTCAATTTATTTTATGAACAAAAAAAAAAAATTGATATTGAAACTAATCTAACACAGTGGGAACAATAATATGTACTTCGGACAGGGACGAATATGAGCATAACTTAGGGAGGGTTTTGTTTTCCCTATTTGCTCCAAAATGTGCAACACATTGCTGGCTGAAAAAAGAAACCAACTCAGTGTTTCTGAAGGTGAAGATATACATGGATGTGCACTTCATAAGTTTGGTCCGATATTTACGCATCCTAAATTCATTAGAGTATAGGCTTTCAAATATTTACTTGAAATGTGCTAAATTGAAAAAGCAAATTTAATAGAAAGTACATCCAGTGTCCTTTGAGAGTACCATATTACACGGATGCACAATTTTCAGACCAAAGAAAAAAATTCAGTTTTATGTCGTGGCATTCTGGCAATGAGTTGCCTTGTTCATTAGTCAGGGTTCTCACAGAGATTAGAGGATGAAATTCCCTGACAACTGAGGACACGCTAGATAGCTAATGAAACATAATTTGAAATATTTCTGGGCAGAATTTGTTGTTCAAAACGTCTGACTTGTTCTACAAAGTAAATAAAGGTGAGTTAACAATTTTTTCCCAACACTTTTGTCATTTTTCCTGACTGTGGCAAGCCTAATCAGTCGTTTTCATATCTTTTGGTAAGAACAGGTGTTTCCTTTTTCCGTTTATCAGATGAGAATAACATGTAATATCAGGGCTAAAAACGTTAAGTATTAGGTAAAATATGTAGTAAAATTCTTTGATAGAGAAATGTAATTATGATGATAAAAGTTAATGCTTAACAAAGGATAAAGATAACAAACCTCTGCATCGTATTTAAAACCATTTGCGATACAATAGTGTTGTTCAACCTCTTGTTTTGTTTGCTCAATCATAGTTCTGCCGTAAGCGGTAACACTCTGAAATTGACAAAACTCATAATTAATTATTAACAAACGTACAATAAGAGACCTCAGGAGAAAATTTCTGAGGCTTCCTTTTTTTTGGTCCAAAATGACTAACATTACTTGACTGTCTGTCAGCAAGCTGCGACCATACTTGAAAAAAGTGGAAATTTCTACTGTTGATTCTTAAAATGATTTAAAAGTCTTATGTTTTTTTGTTTTCGTGAAAAGTATAATATTCCAAAATCTTCCTGCAGTGAGAAGGCTTCACTTCAAAACAGAGATATCTGAAATAGTTTATGAGACTGCTACACGTGTTTTTGATTTCACTGATTTTAGCAATAGTTCTGTTTTATCACTTCTTGGCTTTACGTGCCCATCCCACCCTCACGCTGAGGCTCTTAAATTGACACTAATTCTTTAATTTCACGGGCATTTCTGCAAAAAATTCCTTGAATATATCAAGATTTGATCTCCGGAGGTGATAGGAGGTGACAGCAATTTATCACCCTGTTGCATGTTCTATAAACTCTGTCTTAAGTCTGGAGTCCAAAGAGACGTGCAGCTGCCATGGTTGCTGTAAAGTTTCAGGAAAATATGAGCGGAAAATGTAAATGCAAATAATCTGCACATGATTTATAATTTTAAATAGTGTAAAAAGTTGTGATTAAAAAACTCTTACACCAGAGATTTCGAGACATGGCAACTTTCCAACTTGGGCTCCTGTGAATCCATATACTGAGTTAGCGCTAATTTTCAAAGCAAGCTGTCGACCGTCCAAAACCTTTTGCTTGAAAGGATCTGTCTCCTTCTTCAGATCAGCTTTTGCTTTTTTACGGGCTGTTAAGAGGTCATCTAAGATTTCTGGCAGGAGACCCTTACGAACAGAGCTTTTCACAAAAAAATTTTGGGCAGGGGTTTTCACATACATGTCTGGAGAGAGGCTGGAAAAAAAACGAAGTACACAAAATCAAATGGTTGCAATAAGATTAGAATCATGGCAAAAAAAATTGAGATTTTTGTCATAAAAATTAGATCAGCCATCACAAATTCAATAGGTATTGAGATCAAAATTTAGACTGGGAGAATATTTTTAGAGGTACTGATACAATTTTATGAAATTATACGAACAGTGGCACTCTGGGGTGGCTTAGGATGACAGGCAGGTTATGCTGTCTTTTGCAGCATTTTTCTGTTCACAAGCAACTTAAATCATACCCATGTATCCTTCCAGAATAACGAGAATATTGTCTATTTTTTATCTTTATTCCTCAACACCTCCTCATTCTTATTTCCACAGAATTTTCATCTCTGCTTTCTACTAATCATTTAATTACACTTGTTCATGGCGCACAGTTCAAGAAATCGCAGCAACAAGGAGTAGGTAATTTGATGATCAAGTTATTAATTGCTCGACAAAAGCAAAGCCTTTAAAGCACAAAACTTGGGCTACTTTTTGGAAAATCCGGTAATTTGAACCGATGTCTTATCTTTGGACCGCAAAAAAAGTCCAGTTGACCGCAAGGAATTAATCATTTGTCTCATGGCAGGGACTTGGAAAACACTTTATAAACCATAAAATACAATGAATCATACGTCATGCAAAATGAGCAATTATTGTACATGTAAGCAACTCTTGAGAAGGCCTTAAAATGCCTCGCAAATAAAGGCAATTTGTGCATTGGCATTTGTGTGTGTGTGCAAAAATGTGTACTAAGGTGAAAATGAAAATTTCCTGGGGTGGATCATAAAAGCACCCTTCTATTTTCGAAGAGACTACCCATGGCACCCCTTTTTTCTCATTGAATTATCAATCCAATTGCACCGAGCACGGTGAGTTCATGCTATGGCCCTGAGTACACCATCAAGCCTTGTTCAGTTTTTTAATTTTAGCAAAGGATAAAAAAATAGTAGATACTTACTTCAGTTTGTCTTTCATATTTGGCTGCAGGAGAGTAGTGTAGCATAAATTGTGAGCCATCATGATACTAGGGTACAGTGAACTGAAATCGAGCGTTGCGATAGGCTCGTTGTAGTAGCCTTTCTTTGGTTCTATGACTGTGGCACCTTCAAATTGGTCATCTTGTTGACCTCCCGTATGAGTGGGCATCAAGAATCCTTTTTCACGAGCCTGTAAAATGTAAAGCAAAAAAGAGATGCGGTTAAAAAAATTGAAAGAGGAAAATCACTCGTTCTAACTCGGTGCAACCTGGTGTAATTTTTTATTCATCTTACAAATAACATAAACCGATAATACATACCTGGCTCTATTCTTAAATAAATTAAATTTCAATCAGGATTCATGCTTACAGATAGGCAATATGTGGTAGATTACATAAGACTAAATTTTTTGTGTTTTTCCGGAAATAGCCCTGAGTTTGTACAAGTAAAGAGAAGACCAAATTCAACATAAAAACGTTAAGGCAGTCAAATATTTAAATTTCCCTGTTATTACTTTGAACTGAAGACATCACCTATATTTTTAAGGTTTCTTTCTGAATAATTTTCATTTTCCACAGTTCATTTTCCACGAAATGGTTCTCTATATCCCCCCCCTCCCATTTATCCAATCTCTTAGACCCTTATTTTTGAAATTTAAAAGGAGGACATTTGAGGCATTTAGAAACCTTCTAAATTTGAGGAATGTAGGGATTGATAGTACTGAACATTGAACTCACCTTCCGTAAGAGTTGAGAAACAACTTTAATTTGCTGACCACGAGTCAATAAGCTTGCAAGGGGAACGCCTGTTACACGAGCCATCTCCATGTAGTTGATGAAGCACATCAGTTTCTCAAGAAGACGAATTGGTAGATATGCATCCTTCAAACAGTAAACAGCCAACCTAAAAAATCGGAGGAAAAGAGATAAAATGGTACTAGCCACAGCAACTCATCAGGGCACTGAGATTCATTCCTGAAACGTTATACTTATCCGATGTATTGAGTATTTTCTGTGAAAAATCTGAATGTTTCCACGAATCCAAAAACAAAACTATGGGATTATTATAAGACTTTAAAGGACCATTCTTTAAAAAAAGTATGACCGCAAAGCTAATAAAAAGACTTTTGGTCCCCACTAAAAAATAGCCAGCGGGAAAAATATCCTACCTCCTGGCAAGTCTGATGGGACATAGTGATTTAAGAGAAATAAAAATTGCGAACTAATAAAAATAAAAATCCATTTTTTCAGGCAATCTAGCATACTTGCCTTAGTTGGCTTCATGACCGAGAATTATGACCCAAAAATCAAGTCATGAAACAAACATACAGCAATTTTTGGCCCGACATAAAATATGGCAATATTATAGGACTGTACATGATCAGATGACCAGTAGACACCCTGAAAATGGAGTATTTGGCTACATTGCTCCTTAGTTCAACTGCAGCACTCGAGATTTCTTGCTCTGAAAGAGATAGTTTAGTAAAATACAGTGGAGCCCGTATATAACGAACCCGCTTTTAACGAAGTTTCGGATATAACGAAGTAATTTTCATTCCCCTAGAACCTCCCTATACACTCAATAATAAAAAAGCCCGCTTTTAACGAAGTCTCGGCGGCGGCACCTCGCATATAACGAAGTAATTTGCCGCCATTTCCGCTATTGTGTTCGGTATTTTCTGCTCTCTGGGCGAGTTCCGCTCGCTTGCGGTAAAACATGTGACAGTCGCGGAGTCACGAAGTTACGAATAAAAGAGAATGAGCGATAACGAAGTGAGCGCTCACTGCGCAGCTCGCCGCGCATGTCTCACACTGCACTCTCTCACACTTGCACAGGTCTGCGATGGAGGGGAGGGGGGAGTCCGGCAGCGTGCCGATTCAAATCGGCACGCTGCCGGACTTTCCGTGAGACGCGGACACACTTGCACGCGTCTGCGATGGAGGGGAGGGGGGAGACTTTCCGTGAGAGAGTGCGGTGTGAGACATGCGCGGCGGGCTGCGCAGTGAGCGCTCACTTCGTTATCGCTCATTCTCTTTTATTCGTAACTTCGTGACTCCGCGACTGTCACATGTTTTACCGCAAGCGAGCGGAACTCGCCCAGAGAGCAGATTGTGTATTTTTGATCAAAATATACAAGTATTGAATCTGTATATTTGCAATTTTTTTTGTGTAATTTTTCCCGAATTTTCCCGCAGAGTCCGCTTTTAACGAAGTTCCGGATATAACGAAGTTTTTCTGGGAACCGTGAACTTCGTTATATACGGGCTCCACTGTACATACAGACTGCCAAAGCGACGATACGAGAGAATTACATGACTTGATTTCCCTTTCGACTAATTCAATGGTTTTTCTGTGGAGAATTCAATGACGTCGTTTCCCTTTCAACAAATTCAATGATTTCTCTGTGGATAAGGGTGGACTGAAATCCTTCCAACAATTTTCTAATGGATTTTTCTGATCAAATTCTCATTCAAAACGAGGATAAGACAAGAATGAAATCCTGACTTACCTGCGCCTGGTTTGAGCAGTACCCTCTTGCAATTCAGTTATCATGTTGTGGTGAACGTCCTCTTTTTGCTCTTGCAAGAAATGGTAACTCACAGCATTTAAAGTATAAGATCTGAGTTTGTAATCACGAAGTAAAACCTAAAAAAAGGGAAATTGAGTAAAATTTAGAGAATTTATACACGACCTGGAAACCAGGAGAGAGTCAGGAGTAAACATTTTTCTTGGAAATATAAGTGATTTTCATAAAATAACTTAAATATTTTTCTACCATACATTACAGAGCATATCGACAGTGTAAGTTGGCAATCACATTACTCTGTTTTGCGACGTCGCAGACTTCCTGTCATACTTCATTTTTTAAACAGAAAACTACTCAACGGCAATTTTTTAAAACTGCCGTGATTTTTCTTCTCTGTGCGGAGAAAATTCTGCAAAAACTTCAAGAAATTATGTCAATTTGTTCTCCTTAAAAAAAATAACATACAGGTGGAGATTCTCAGACACTGCAAACAAGTTATGTGATTGCCGACTTACACCGTCGATATAGTAATTTTTTAATGGATGTCAGATTCGCAGTAAACGTTGAAAGACCTTGGTATATGATTTTAGTCTACTGCAACAAGAAATAAATAATATTAGCAATGATTAATTTTGAGTTTTGCATGGATATTACTTACAAATAGAAGATCAAAAGGCACTCGACCTTCAAAATTTATGTTCTTGTTTTCTCGTCTCCCCATCTGTTTGCTTTGGATTATTTGATCCTTGATGACAGATCTGAAAATAAAGTTAAAGAATTAAGATAATGTCTGACAATTCTGTCTTGTTAGGCTGATAAAAGATAATTAGAGAGAGTAGCGCCCTAACAAGTCTCTCGCTGACTGCAAATAAGAACGATAAAAATGCCTATTTGATAGGTTTAGAAAATGTTGCCGCAGTAAGTTATACAACATCTTTTAAGACATTGCAAATTGATCTAAAATGTGATGGTTAAAAAGATTTCTTCAAAATTTTGAAGCTGATTTGTCGAACAATTGAAAAGTCAAAGCAATTTTGCGCTCTAGAACAAAGTTTGTCTAGATATCGTGTTTGTTATAACGAAGAACTTACAAACTTCATACAATACCGAAGTCATTGTATTGAACAGTAAATTTATTTCATTATCAGATATGGATTCTGAAAATTGTTAATCTGAAAACAGGACTTTGAAAAGTAGTTGAGCTGTGCGATTCGAACGTTAATTGTAATCGCAAATAAATTGTTTTACCATAATCGTAATCAAATTTGATGGTATTTTGTCTGGTAATAGTCTTGAGAACCCCTGAGTATGTAATTGTCTATCAACATTATTCCTAAGCCCCCCGCCGTATTGTTCCTTCGATTACCAATGACTGTAGAATTTATGTCTACAGCCGACATTCTGTAGGAAATTTAAGGTAAAGTAGGAGCATTCGCAGTCTTGTGAAATATCCCTCAAGAATTCACTTACTTTAACTTTACATTTGGTCACAGAGACAAAAAAAAATAAAGATGATACAAATATGATCATTTTTTCCCTTTTACCCAATTTTAATCGTGATTAAATTCGTGTATTGTAATCCAACCGTAATCGAACAAAAAATCTTTAATCGCACGGCTCTAAAAAGTAGGATTGAGAGAAAATGAAAAACAGAATTTGAGCCATCTTACCTTGTATCTTTTATCCTACCTAAGAAGGAAAAATTATGAACGTTGAGATGCTTAGCTCTATTGATTAAGTAAGGAAAATCAAAATTATTAATATTATAACCAGTGAATACATCAGGATCCGATTCTCGAACAAAATCTGACCATCTCTGAAACAGATTATATAAATGAGAAACAAGAAAACAGAAAATGAGAGAAAAAACCTCCTCGTATACTGTATAGTATTGTAGTATTAGTACTGTTCGTAGTTGATTTTTTTTTTATGTTTTAGAATACATTTCATCAAAGTTTAAATAATGAACTGTTACCCACTGTTCCGTTAAATGGTAGAAATGGATAAAAGAATGAACGTTTCTTGAACAAAATTATGGAGAGAATAAAAGATAAGAAAAAGAAAAGGAAGAAAATGATTACCAACTTCTTTCTACTAGTAGTGAGCAGCTATACTAAAAGCAAGTCAGAATGTTTTTGGGCTGAGCTGCTGGGGGGCATAAATTTAGAGAACTTCAAATTTTCTAGTAACAGACACTAACACACCCTTTAGATATTTTTGTTAGGGCAGCACGTTCCTAGAAAATAAATTTTGCTGCCTAAATGACAGTTAAATGTTCAGTTTTCAGTTCCTGGTCATGACTTTTTTCAAAAATATTTAAATTCCCGAAATTTGTCTCCTTAATCACCGAATCAAAAATAACAAATCTTCAGAGCAAACAACAGAAATGCCAGCTACCTTTCAGGTTTAAGAGGAAAAGACTACATTGGAGTAGCAGGTTGGACCCATACCTGTAACAATTCCATCTCAGTATCACAGCTAATTACTTGGCATCCGACAATGGGGGCACATTCCTTTAACGTAAACACATTTCGTATGAATATTTCAGGCTCTCCTTGCTGTACGACCATGTTTGCGATTTGTATGACAGGATCATGATTTGGCTCCGGAAATATTCCTGAGGAAGAGAAAAAATGGGGGAAAAACCCAGTAAGAACCATGCGAGTTGAACATTTAAGCTTGATTATTAACTAAGACCTAAGACTGCATGTGCTCCTATAATGAATCATCATTTTAACAAGAATGATAATAGCCTTTGTTGTTGTGCAAGGTCTTAACAAACTCGAAAAGGAAAAATTCCCCAACTTTTCCACATTTTCCCTCCCCAAAATAACGGAAATACAGACTATTTTGATGAATATGCTACCAATTCGCTATCGAGCCCATAACATTTCCTTGTTTTTCCCTGCAATAACAGTAAAATTTTTGTCCTGGTTTTTCAGCTTTTTACAATTTTTTTCATTAGAAATAAAGGAATGTTCAATGAATCTTTTTTTAAAGCTAATCTTAATACAGTATTTCATTGGAATCTATGCGCAATGTGTCCGGTCACCACAATACCTGACGTACCACAATACCTGAGTATTGGAAAGATAACTAAATTATTATATCATTCCTTCCATTTCAATGTTTGTGCTTTGCCTCTCACAACTATTTTGAGAAAACAATTTAAAAGTACCTTTTCTGCCAGCACATTCAATATCAAAGCTAAGGATTCTGAAAGGTGCAACCTTGCTCCATTCACCCTCAGGCAAATGAGAAATGAGATCTTCGCAGCTGACGTCAACCTCAATCTGACACCGGGATGTTACGCGGAGATCTGAATGAGGACGTCTCTGCCACGTGCCTTTACCAAGTTCTACCCAACTGCAACCTACAATATTTTTATCCACCATGAACCTGGAAAAACAATGATGCATTCAATATTTTTTTCCAGAGTTTGTAGAAAAAAAAAAAAAAAATGAAGGCTTCATGAGCACAGAAGTGTAGAGGAAAATTCCTGCTTCACTTCTTTTTTTATAGTTATGAAGATAGTTTCCATGCAATAGTGTGTCTACTGGTGCATGATCGTTTAAAATCCTTGATTTATCATTACTTTTTTTATGCTTTGCAAAAACTTTCTCTTTTCAGGGGTTTCCCGAAATCCTTGCTTTTTCATTACCTTCAATATTTTTGCAAAATGGAGAGACGTTTGGATTTAGAACCTGGGAGGTGGGAAATCTGGAGGAATGATCTGAAATAAGCAGACTGTGACTGAGGTTTCGATAGAACGTCATAAAATAAATTATAAAATAAAATAGCATGGGTACTAAAAGGTTTCTTCTTCAAGTGTATCTCAAATTTCCGTACCTTTAGATGAAAAGAATGTATTTTTGGTACTTCGGTACTGACCTTTCAAAACCTGAGCTTTTTTAGTTTAAGTATCTACACTTTTTCTGTACAGTACACACCTTGTGCAAATTCATAAAAATAGGAAAAAAACAAACAGATTTGAAATTAAATAAATTATTCATTTCAGAAGTAATACTGCAACTAAATTATTAGTACTTGAATTTTGGAGATTGGTTCATCTCTCATTAGGGTCTGCATCTTCGGTGATCATGAATAGGTTTCTCACAGGTTCATGAAGTACTAATCGAAGGATAATGGACATTTAACTGCAAACGAACCTGATATCAAAGTCAATGTTGGACTCAAATGCTTTATATGCATGGTTTGGAAAAGATGGAAAAACTGCTTCTTTCTCGAGAAGTCGTTTTCCAGCAGCAATCAGCCGAGGAAGGGCAACCGTAATCTTCAGAAAGTCCTTAACTTCGTCTCCCCAGTAGCCAAACATGGTCTGTTTCCTTACAATCTCTACCATTAGAACTGCTTCTTGGATACCACTTTTGTTTCCACGCATGTCGTTTAGTATAGTTCGATTCAATGCATCCTGAAACAGAATACTTTTTTATTTCAAATACAATGATCAGAGTTTTAATAAAAAAATACTAACATACAGTATTTACGGATTTGAATAAGAAGGGAAAATTTTTAACTTACTGACTTGGTAGAAATTGTTTCTGTAGATAAAAAAAAAAAAAGTAGATAAACTTAGAATGGGTTTTCTAAAAACTTTCATAATTTTTTGATTGAATCAAATACTGTGAAGGAATTAAAAATTGGATAGAAAAATCGAAAATATACAACAAATTTTTGAGGGCACATGAATTCTCGTCTCAAAGGCAGACAATTGAATCTAATTTTTATCCATTCTCAGAACCAATTGCGTTCTTTATGCACACTATGTAGCAAGAGTTTCTCACATTCAATTTGAATGGTACCAAATTAGACCCAGAGTGAGGATACCAAGCTACAACTTCTATTACCATTGACTGAGATGACTGAGAGTTGAAATCAGATTTTTAGGATTCACTTAAATGATTCAAACATCAACTCACTTTGAAAGGACGACAATGGGACTCGTTGAATCCAGCAGGGGCTGTTACAAAAAAGTACGGTGAGAATCCATGGACATGAGCACAAACAGAATTTCCCTCCATTGTGATGCCAAAAATTCTGAAGATAGGAACAGGTCCTAACTGTGACCCAGGCATTCCTTTCACTGGTTCACCTATAATAAAACAGATATAATTGAATATTTAGATAGAACTATGAGAAAACAAACTGATGGCGATAAAACAGACTAAGTGTTCGGGATTTTAAAAAAAAAGAAAACAAATGGGAAGTACCGACAGGCTCTAGGGGATGAGAAGGGGGGAATGGGAACAGCTGGTCTCTGTAAAAGAAATTACAGCAGATCACACTGCATATGATTTTCAGGGGTTGGATTGATGAAAAAAGCTCATCGCTACTTTAGTAAACATTAAAAATCATGAGCTCAAGGTATTTTTCTGTATATTTTATAAATATATATATAAAGTCGCTTTACAACGCACTTTATAAATCCCATGGCAAAAAATTGTTCACTAGCTTGCCTTTTAACACCCAATGGATTTTCACTTATAGCAGAGGTAAAATTAAATAGAATACCCAATAATTCTTGCCTGATAATATGGTTCTGCACTATCTTCCAATTAGAACGCAATGTGATTATCTGGCCCTGTCAGTGAGCGAGTACGTTAAAAACAAATTAAACTTTTCAAGAGGGCTGAAGTTGTACAAAATTGAAATGAAAATTTTGAAATCCAGCGCTAAGTTTTCTCTGAAACCATTTTTCACACTGAAACTTGATGATTTTCATTGGCTGGAAAAGAGAGGGACTGTTTCTAGAAGTTGAAGTTCAGAGCTCCATTGGAGTTAGCTCACAGTGAAGCTGAAATGAATTATAATTAAATTTACATTTCTTGCTTTTTTACAAAAGAATTTTGACCATCACGGTTATTAATCTCTGCCCTTAATTTCTAAATAAATGTATATTTCCGCTTCTGAGTTAACATTGAAAATAGAAAATATTTACCAGTATAACTGTCCAGAGAAATTTGCTGGAATATGATGCCATCCTTCTTTGGATCTAAGTCTGGAGGGGCGGGTCTACTCCATTTTTGATTGGTGGATCTAGTTTCCGGGCCCTAAGAAAACAATTTTCACAGTATAGATGAAATTAATCTAAGGAAATCTGAAAAATGTGCTAAGAAATTACTTTGAGTCAGAAAAAAATCAAAGGAAATAAACGAAAAAATAAATATTTACAGTAGGTTTTACTGAAATATTATTTCAAAATTAGTTACTAGAGAACAATCAAAAAACATACTGGATTTCACACTGACTTCAGTTCAGATAAATATTTTCTGATTAAAATGATGCTCCAAACATATAGTGAAGGTAAAGAGAGATCTATAATTTTAGTAAAATCACTCACAGCATCACTGATTTTCGAAATTGATAACATAGTAAAACAGTATTATTTTCAAACACGATGAAAAAATGTGAGTGTGGTTGCTTGAGAAAATTATTGGACGCCACTAATAAAAATCCAACAAAGTGACTAGATTTCTTAGACCATCTTTTTATCTACACAAAGAAACTAACTGATAGAAATAGTTTTTAATCAGAGCTAAACACAAGAGGGATAGCAAATAATAGTGGTGCAAAATGATTATAATTTTTAACTGGACTTAAAAACTGACTCCACGATAGGCAAGCAACATTGAGTCCTATGATATTGAGGCCAACAATTGATGTAAGTTTGAAAACTGACAAACTTTGAAAACAACAAAGAGAACAAAATCTAACTCGTGTAAACACATCATCAGCTGTTTAGTGTACAGTCACAGCAGACCTATTGTTCTTCGATTAAAAATAAAAAGTAACTTTGCAAAGTGTAAATCATGAGCAATTGAATGAATGGATTTCTGATACATTCATCAGGGTTCAAAGGATTCTGCCGAGCTGTTCATCTGGAAATGAACGCGTCCAATTCATTGGTCACAGATTTAATCTGACCAATTAGTGCCGACTGGCAATGATTCGGCTTCACAGATTATTGTGGTGTTTAAAATTTTGGCGAGGGGATGGATCTCTAACAGACTTGAAAATGAGTACTTATTAGAAACTTTAATAGCTTAGGAGGCAAGGTTCACTTGCAAGCAATACAAACATGAGAATCTTCCAGACTTAGTAAACGCTCCCTCTCTCCCTTTAGAATAAATATATGGTGAAACAGAGAGTAAGTCCTCTTGATCCGTCATTGAAGCAAACTCTTATTGGAGTGATATTCTATACTGCTGTACTAAGGAAGAACGCCATATAAGCCTTCAGACCATGCCAACTTTTCCTCGATTAAATACGAATTTATAGGGAATTTATAAAGATTTTCCTTCCAATTTTTCAGAGAATTTCATTCACAACCAGATCTAAATTATCGATAAATCTGAAGAGAAAATATTCACAGCTCTCCTAAAAATTGAACAATTTATTGGAGGAAATTTGGCAACCCTTAAATATTCATACAGCGTTTTTCCTTAGCATGATGGTATACTGTCATGCTAAGGAAAAACGTTGTATGAACTTAAAAGGTTGCCAAATCTCCCTTCATTTTTATTCTTAATTCTTGAGAAAAGTTACGAATGTTGTATCAAAGTCTCAGGTGTACAAGATTAAATAACTAGTCAAAATGTTTTGAAAATTCATAGAAAAAAATTCATGTTTTTTTTGAAAACCCATGATAAATCAGAAAGATTTAGGAATGTATGAATACTCCTATGACGTTTTTCCATCACACAGCTACAGGCATAGTTTTGGGGAGAACTAGTGGCTGAGATATTGTGTAAAATGACTGGCTCCATCGATCATTTCAGCGCCTAGTTGATTTACTCAGCTTAACCCAGGTTGTTGGTAAATGACTGTGAATTTGAGATTTGGTTTTAACACAGTACAATACAGTTGGGTCAAGCATAGGAGTCAGATGAATCTTAGTCTAGCCTTTTTTTTCTACCAAAGAGGAGAAATTTTTTTGTTAAAAAAGGTACCGTTCAGTTTTTACCGCTCTTATGAAATGACACCATTACGGGATCTCCCGATAATTAAGGTATAACTGAATACTGTAGTGTAGGTTTTTAAGATATAAGAAAAAACATAACTTGGATACCTGTTCTTTCTGGCTGTCTGGCATGTCAACATCATTTTCCTGAGATTCTGTAGCCTCCATGTAAGCAAGCTCCTCTTCAAACGAACCTGGAAAATCTTCCTCTTCATCGCCATGTCTGAAATTAACATATTAAAGATATTAATAAATCTTTGCCACACGACTAGAATTACTGTTCATGACATCCTTCAAGATAGAACATCAAGGAAGGAAAATTAGTAAACTTAGAGGTACTCGCAGGACAAGTTGGCATCGAAAGCTAAACTTTGGTAACCAAACACTTAAAATGCTACCAAGAGCTCAAGTTCAAGAGTGATTTTTGTCAAAATAACGAAATTTGACAGCAAGTCTTCAGAATTCTCATGAAAAATTCATTCATCGTGATTTTGTCAGTTAAAGAATCAATTCTTCAAAATAATAGCTGATTTTAAGAATATTTTGTCAAAAGTGGGTTGAGGCTTTCAAACGTTTGCTCGAACTTGAAACTAGGTACAAGGAATGAGTCAGGGCTTATGATTTGAATGAATGTGAATGGAATCCAATAAAGTTCATTGGATTGCTGGGTTTTCCAAATCAGTTGCAGATTAAAGGTCTGTGCGGTTGTAGTTGTAAAACTGCGAAGTCCCTAAAAGATCTAAGAAAGGAGAGCGTTGAATCATTGAATACAAAAGACCTCAAACACTTCCAGACTTGGGCAGATGCTAATTTGCTAAAGCAAAAAAAGTGGTAGGAAATAACAGAGGTAAAAATAGTGCAGCGAGCTTAGAGGTAAGAAACAATGCGTCTAAAGCATTTCTCATTAGTACCATAAAAACAACTGACATAAATTCAACAAAATATCTTACACTTAAGGAGGCAGTAGTCTGAAACATATATTGAGGGTTAAACTATAAGAAATATAAGAACCTATATCTCATTTGCAGTGTTTCAAAATCACTGCCTTCACCTTATGTTATCAAAAAATAAAAAAACCAACGCTATTGCTTGAAATTTTCACAAAATATTCTTCATATCAGAAAAGAGAAGAAAAATTGGAGGGTATGGATTTGATCGACATGAATCATCCAAATGTAAAAACACGAATCAATCAATGTCGACCGATTGATACTGATTCAATCGACAAATTATTAAAAACCAGTGTGGATTCAATCAACATACTTAAATCCACCAAAAAATAAAAACGAGAACTGATTGACTTGATTCCATTGACAAAATTCATTTGATTCACTGGTTTGTCCAACGATTCACAGGTTTGTCAATCGATTCACGGTTTTCAATTAAATTGGTGTCAATCGGTTCACGTTGGTCAATTCAAGTTTTTATTATTTGATCGATTCACTGGTTTATTTTTTGATAAATTCACGGTTTGATTTTTCGATCAATTCATGCCGATCGAATCCATGCTCTTCAGAAAAATCTTGAATGTTTTCGATGAGTGATGTTGAGTATTAGTCATAATGAAGTTCAGGAAGTCTGCAACATCGCAAGCCGAGAGACGTGTTCCAGCATTTTCACTGTCCATGTGCGAAAGTAATTTTAGATTCCTGACATGATTACATAATTAAAAAACGGAGTCCAGTTCGTGGGTGAACTTGACAATACGGATAACTGATTGATCTTCATCCAATGATAAATTCGAAATGTATTGATGAGGCTGGTGAGAAAGTAAATTACACGGCAGCTTATCACTTGAGGGTTGGAAGAGTTGTCGTCATATACTTCTGGTTCTCCATCTAATGCCATGTTGAAGAGAATCGCGAGCAACACAAATAAAGCTTATGAGGATTTGTTCAGCAATAATGAATCAAAGAATTCCATGCTAGCATCTACTGTCAAACTGCGTTACCACCGAATGAGATGGAAAGTCAACTGATGAGGAGGGACCGTGAGAGCTGGGTCAAGTTCAAGAGCTAAATTTTCATAATCTTTGCTTGAAATTGGGAGCAGACAGATGCAGATCAACGCTACAAATTTCATTCCCTACTTTTCAATTTTAAGGACAGTGATTTATCAGAATGTGAGTAATAATTGGGCTTGAATAAAATGCAGCAAGGCAGAAAGACGTGTTCAGGATTTGACAAGCATGTAAGCTAGCAAAGATTACGCTTGTAAGGAGGGAAAGTTCAAAAGTTAGAATAATGTTGAACCTGCGAGAAGCAAATTAAATGATTATTTAGAATAAAAACTGAAGTACCTTGGTTTCTTCATCCCACCGCCCTTATCTCCAAACTTTCTTTTGTTGAAACTCATGGTCGGAACTTAAAACACAAAATGTGTAAGCAGGATAGTTAATAACCGAGTTCACTGACTGACGGAGGTAAAAATTCTACACGAGTGATTCACTGATTGAGACTAATTTAAAATTTTGTTAAAATGTACAATATAAAATGGGTAAAAGGTAAAATTTTAAAGTGTGCGTGAAAGGCAAGCGTATTCATTCCTTTCCTTTCACGACGAAAAGCGAGGTTGAGGTTAAAAACATTTGAAAGCGCGCGAAAATTGTAAACAAACGGTCAGCATTGCCACAAAAAACAACTTGATATTCCTACCTTCGGAAATATTTTTTCATTTCAAATCATTTTTAAACTTTTACTATCAGAATTTTAGTTTTGAAAACATAATGAATTACTTAAAATACTCATTTTCATCACAGTTTGGTGGAAGAAACGAATACACAAGCATTATTGAACTTACATGAGGGATTATGTTTTGTTAGCCAGACTGATTGCCAAAATTCTTGTAGGTAACCAATAGGCAACGCCAAAAGTTCCCGCCAGAATTCGGCGGGCATTTTTAAATTGACGCTCCCTGAGATTCTTGTCCGCAAAACGAAATTCGCTGGATTGAGTCCAGCAGAAAGGAGCCAAGTTTCTTTTGAAAGTCAACTTTGCGGCAGTAATAATTTTCTTCTTTCGGTATTAATATTGTACAGTGTAAAAATGAAGCTAATTAAATAGTTTGGTTTTCTTGTAATGTATAAGCGGTTGCAAAATCTCTTGGGCATTGCATAGACACTTTGCATCTTTCTAATAAACACCGAAGTAATACTCTTGAAGCTATCATAAACAGAGGTTTCATGCTATCATGAACAACAATTTTTAGATCTTAGAAGCCCACCTCAGCAAGAAGAAGAACTTCTCATGAGAAAATATGATTTTCATACATTCTTCAGGAATCTGGAAATTTTGAGGTAAAATCAAAAATTTATATTTGGCCATTTTAAGAAAAATTATGAAAGAACGAAACATTTAATTTGTATTCGCAACTAAATTCAGTCCAGAGATAGTGTGTTTGCCATTTTTCATCATGTTTGAGTACTGCTAAAATTAGACGAATCAGGAAAGTAAATAAATTTTATTGGAATTAGTGGGGCCAATCATCAGTGTAGCTCAACTTCTAGATATCCTGACTTCATTCTCAGAGTTTATAATAATTAATTAATTTCACAAAAAACACATTTACTTACATTTGACAATACTTTTTATTCACGTATTTATCCAAGTAAGCGATATAAAAAAGAAAACATTAATCAGCTCTAGAATACAAAAATTTGAACAAAATAAAAGCGAAACAAACAGTAACAAAAAAAGGAATTTTTTTTTAAAAAACGAAAATACGTTCAACCGAACAAAATTACAAACAATTATTCAAAATAACATCATTATTTTCCCACTGTGGAGGCTTAAATTAAAATGGACAATGAACCATTGGTGGCAAACTCAAAAACAAGCCTTGAGCAATATACAATCAGTGATGATAAATTTAGGGCCTACATACATGATGTCGTTGAACAAGGTGAGGTAAGATGGCTGTAAATTAAAACAGGTCAAAATTTTAGGACACACATTCTCTAACTGAAGGTTTGTTTCTCGACAAACAGGTATGAGAATTTGCATAATATCAAAGGATAAGGGGAGGGGGGTTTCAGAGGGCCACTCACATTATGTAATGTATAAAAAGCTCAAGTTTTGTTCATGAGATACCATCCAAAATACCCGCATCAAATTCACAATTTAAGTAACAAAACTCAATACTCCAATGAAAATGACATCCTCAGTGGAAGCCAAGCATTTATTCTACAAGACTGAGGTTTTTCTATAAGTAAATACTCTTTTGAATTCAGCTTTCAGATCGTAACTAGATATGCTTGGAAAGGAAGGAGAGAGGAGGAATAATAATTAAAAATTCTCAAGAGTTTTGCAACCCTTGCGTCTCTTGAAAAATGCATGCGTAGTCAGTTAGAGTTGCAATAATTTTTCAAGTATAAAATTCTGTCGAAATTATAATACTCTTAAGTATTTTTCATGAGCTACAAAACCGTGTAGTAAAAGGCGAGCAGGGTTTTGATATACTCGACAGTATTTATTCACTCTTTGACAATCAGGGCATCTTAATTTACCACTAAGATGAGCTTTAAAATTAATGCAGAATTTTTTACCACTTATCATTACCCTAAACTTTTGTTGAGGACAGGATCTGTCAATTTTTTTGCACAGTATGGAAGATAATCTAACAATTTTTGAGCGTTCAGGATATTCACCTGGCTTGGATTCGAGTTTTTTTTTCAGTTGTCTCGCTAAGGTTCGATAAACTTTGTTATTATTTTTATCTCCAGTCTGATCACTCATGAAACCTTCAATTTTATGGGTAGGTTTTCTTTTCTTTAGTTTAAAATTGAAGGCACCGACTGAATTTACTTCAGATTGATTAGAATCAGATACCTCCTCTAGAATGGTTTGAACAGGCATAAAATCCTCTCTACTGAAAGATTCCGGAGACGTACTGTTGCTTTGTGAGTAATGATTCTTAAAAGCACAATTATGAGAGGCGATTTCTGAGACTGTAGCTGTAGAAAAGCTGCAATGGTTGCACTTCAGAGTAACTTCATTAGAACTTCCGCTATTTGAGAAATGGTCAAAATTGCTGAAACCATCGAACATGTCATGGCCGTTTGTTGATGATTTTGGGTGATGAAGTATTGGGATCAAGTCAGGTGGACCATTACTAGACAACAAAAATAGAATAAAAAGAGATTAATTACCTATTGACTTAAATACAAATCGATCTTAATTCAATTTATAATGGAAAGGATGAGTTCGCACCTATACCATTGGAACTTAAAGAAATTTTTCAAGTAATTGAAAAACCGAAAAATATTTGGTATTTGTTTCTTATAATGCCACAATTCATGGATCACCAAACATTGGAGAGTTGTACAAAATGAAAAGTTTGTAACTCTAATAAAAAATGAGATAAAATGAGAACACGCAGGTTAAATACTTGAAATGAATACACAATCTTTTTTTCATATACCTTCGAGGAATGGTTTTACACAAACTTACCGAATAGTTTTACCTGTATTCGGCCTGATTGCTGCTTCGAATGATTATTATTATCATTTTAAAATAAAATGATCCATTTTAAAATCAAGATGCTGAGTATTAAATTTATCATTTTAACTTTGTTCCGGATCATGTCATTCACATTAGACCCTTAATTCATCTCATTAAAATACATTAATGAAAACATACCTGAGATTTATAAAATCTCGTAAGAATGTTCCTGTAAAACAGCAAACCTTGTTTTTTACATCTCTATCTCAATCCTACAAGTCAGTCAGTGATGAAAAAAGCAAAAATGAATAATAATAGGTAGTTGATAAGACTTACCGAGTTAATACTTTCTGACAGCCTGAACTAGAATCTTCTGTTGGGCAATCGTCAAGAGAGGGGTTGAGGTTCAAATTCTTCCAGAAGTGATATCTTTCAGTTATGGGGCTGGAAAAATGAGCAATTTTTTTTTACATTTTTTGTCTATTTTCTATGACACCAAAAGAATGAATAAAAATGATACGTTTTAAATAGCCAAAGAAGAAGGAGAAATTAAATTGGTAGTGAGCAAAAAATAATTTGTTCTTAATGATCTCATTTACTGGGGAAATTTTAATACCTGCTGATTTAATTATTTACAGCATCCCAGAGGTAAATGCAGAGATATAAGTAATCAAACATTCCCACAAGGAAAAAACGAATAATAAAATGTCAATGCAATCTAGAAAAGAAAAGGAACACTCAGCTTGATCAGCAAAAAGAGAATTTCTGACAGCTTTCTAGCCGACCACATAGAAGCTACTGTCTAGTCTGTTCAAAACAAACCATCAAAAAAACAAATAGATTTCCTTTACATAAGGCTTGAACACTTTGATTCTAAAATTATTCCTAAATTAAAATATAAATCTGATTTATACTTAGTACCTATACGGAAAAATACCTCCTAACAATTATAATTAGACCTTTCATATTTACTTGTTCGGTCACACATTTAAAATTTACTTAGTGTACTCACTAAGAAGATTTTTTTTTCTACCTTCATTATTTAAAAAAATTCAAGATGAGAGATCACAGAGAAGACGAGAATTGTTGAAAATTTTCATAAAAAATTGTGATTCCAGAAGCTGTTCTGTTCTTTTTCCTTCACACCTAATTCACCAATGAGTTCTGCGGGCCTTTACTAGCATCATTTATTAAGCATACACTTATCAGAGAGACTTTATTAAAAAGAATTAGATGTATATTTGAGGACCACAATATGACTTCATTTACTTAAATTAACTTCTTTCTGACAGGACCTACAAAGTCAAATTACACTTAAGACCTTTCTATTTTAAAATTATTTCAACTCACAATTTTTAGAACCTTACTCCTTCTTTTACAAACGTAACTAATAATGCCCAACATTTGAGAAGACAAAGATTTGGAAATTTGACTTTTGGTTTTTTCCCTCTTCAAAGATAACAGATATCAGAGCTTTTGAGTTAGAATTGTATTTCAGAGGAAGAGTAGACATAAAAGATTTGTTACTAATAGATTAATCATTGCACAATTCAATGAAATATTCACAAAAACCAACAACAAGTAAAAAATAACATGAAGGAAAATAAAATTAATTTTCTTATGAATAATAGACCATGAATAACAGCTTTGGTTTATCTCATTTGTTACCAAATTATAGCTACGTGGTCTGCGATGATCTTGATCTTATGCAGCTTGTAAAAGAAGAGAAAGAAAAGAATAATTGTTAGTCATGCAAAAAAGTAAGGGTTAACAAGAGATTATAACATCATTTTAACTGATCAATAAAATGAGTTCTTTATCGAAAGATAGGCAATCTGTAATGGGAAGAAAAATTGCGACTTGATTTAGGTACTTGCGACTTGCAATTTTCTTGTGATGAATTCTAACAAGAGAAACTCCTTCAATTCTTAGATAGGCAACATACAAAACATTCCAAAGCAGTAGTAACAGTTCTGTGGAATCAGAATGTATTGCAACTTATGCTGCCTTTCTGCGAAAAACGCCGTGTGAAAATTCGAATATTTCCAAATTTTCTGTGATAAATAATTTATCTTGGATAGCAGTTATGCATAGTTTTCCTTGAAATTTTCGGATTTTTTAGATAAAATTGCGAACAAAATAGTCTGAAAAGTTGGGAAAAAATATTAAACAATTTCCCAATAAATTCATTATTTATCACAGGAAATTTGGCAACGTCTGAAGGGTCATACGGAGTTTTTCCTCAGCACAGTAGTAAGCTACTTAGGTAATGGCTTTAGATGGATGCCCGCTTTGAACATTATCTAGTAGAATTCTTCTGCATTCATGATTTTGATTTCAGTCATTTCTATGAAACTTTTTCAATTTCCCGGAGATTTCTTTTTCTACCCTTCCCAAGATTTTGAGACAAAAAGCAACTGCAAGATAAATTATTAGAAATAGTTCCAGGACCTTAGTGATGAAAATACTGATCCAGATTATAAAAATAATGACGTTTACATTGTGATTCTTGATATCTAAGTTGTTTAAGGTTTTAATGAGGGGACTTATTGACTAACTGTAAATTAAAGGATTAAGCGATTGAATCTAGACAAGACAAAAATACTTACTGATGTTGCTGTTGCTGATGGACCATCAACTGTGCTTGATCATCAGCCAGGAAACTACATCGCCCACAAGCTCGTTTGTTATGGACTTTATGAACATGGGTTGCCAGACGCTCGGCACGAGCTGCTTTGTACTCACAGAGACCGCAACTGAAAGGCTTCGTGTGAGTGTTGAGGTGGCGTTTCAAACACCAATTGTCCACACCAGACCATGAGCAGTAACAGCATGTGTAGCGTTTTTCACCGGGTCGTTTCGGTCGCTGAACTTGAAGCTTCGTCTTTTCTAAACCAATGGAAGTGGGTATTGCAAGGCCATTATTCAAAACATGTTGAATGTCTGTGACGGTATGAAGCTGTGACAGCTGAGAGATGGGGATTTGCAAACTTATTTGAGTCGCCTCAGGTTTGGGAAAATACTGGGTTTGCGAGCCACTTGATTTTGACACCTGAAAAGACATAAAACCATCCGTCAAAAAATGAAATAAGAGCAGGAGGGTCTCAGTGAAAATTGGTCCTGTATATGGTCCTGTAAAAAGTGCACAACTCTGGTTTTTCCTAGACAATTTTTCTGCTAAAAAACTCTGCATAGATCTTTGACTTAACTTTCTTAGTTACCTACCTCAAAGATTTTCAATTTCCAAATTGGGCGTACATTTTGAAAAAAAAAAAAAAAAAAAAAAAAAAAAAAAAAAAAAGCAATTATGTATGTCATTTACATTGATTCAAACCAGCACCATTTTAAGAGATTTTGATAAAGAATTGAGCACAATTCATTCAGTTCTCCTCAAACTGTGTGCCAATTGGTAGATTGACTGGCCGGCATATTGAAAATAACTTATTTAGGTATTCATTTTTTGGCAAGCAATCGATCAGATAAAAAATTATAAATGGTAAAAAACTTTCTGAATAAACTTTATAACTTTAAATCAAGAAAACCTATGTTAAATTAAATCATCAATCCCACTTTTAAATTAATGCCTCATAAAAATTCCTGAGACCCATGTTGTAAAAACTGGACACAATAAACTATAATAGAAAAGTTTATTAATGTTGCTTGCAAATTGCCTACTCGCTAAATTTAAGGAGTTTATGAGTTTCATTGAAGTAGTTATAAAATTACAATTTTGATTGTTTTCTGTTGCTTCCTTTTTGCACCTAGGATGTATATCTATGCATAAAATTGTGTTTTACTAGGAGAAAAAATTCTGAAATCATGAATCAGTCATGAGAAGGGTAGTCAAGGCGGAGGATGGAAAAAATAAATATTTATACACACCTCTCGCCGAATCCTGTTTATATCATAAGGATGCTCTCTATGCATACGCAAAAAATGTTTCTTGACATGGTCTGCCCTGTTAAATTGCTTTGTACAAATGTAACACTGGAATGGTTTCTCTTCTTTATGGATATTTTCATGCCGAGTGTACAAGTCTCTTCTGTCTGTTGCATATGGACAAAACGTGCAATTGTACCGTTTTTGAGGGGTCGTTCCGATTGAAACTTCATGATTCTGCATTTTCGACTGTGATGTAACCATTTGATTCACCTCTTGTTTGACCGGTGCAACCATTGTTTGAACAGAGTCTTGTTTTATAAGCTGTGTATGTGGAACCTGCACTGCTTGTACCAGCTGGACAGTTTGAATGGACTGATCTGATGGGTGGGAATTCTGAATTTTTAGCACCGGAGCCTGGACCTCTGTCTTGACAGGTTGCGCCTCAACAGCAGTGGCGTGAATTGTGGGTCCATCGCCTTCCACTTTTTGTTTTAGTCTTTGCAAATACTTGGTCACCTCCTCCAAAACTGGATTCTCTTTCCAAAGGGTCTGCGATGAATCTGTATTCTGCTCTATACAGACATTATGTTGTCGCGCAAGATGCATGCGTACACAGCGCGCCCAAGCGCTGGCATAGGGGCACTGCAGGCATTGAAATACCCGTAAGTTGGCGTGTGTTCCAAGCCAGTGCTCGGCAATGCGTGACAAAAAGCTGATACTTTCGCATTCATTGCACCGAAACAGTTTTTGGGCAGCGTTGTAACTGGCAATTTTAGAGGTGGTCCAAGGCAGCACCTCATCACTAAGAACCCATTTGTTCTCCTCCGCCTCAATTGAGGCTTCAAGGAGGCCTGGAGTTGTAATCAGACTTGTGGAAGGAAGGCTACCCTGCATTAGAGCAGCTAAACTAAACGCTTCGATCCCATCAAAATTCTGCATCATACGAAACGTCTCGGTGGATTCCAGGTCGTCCTCACCATAAAACTTTTTCGTTATCTCTTTGAACATGTCTTCGTAGTAGTCCATACCGACCTGAGCCATTTTTGTTTGATGTTCCTGGCTCGATTCTCCAGTCCATACAGTGCTGATTTTTATCTACATCAAAGAAAAAATAAAAACACCGTGAGTACAAATCTATTTAATTAAGGACTATATTTTCATGAAATTTTTGACGTCAACATTATGGAGTCCTAATAATCTGGGATCTAATAAAAAAAATAGACTTGATCCACTCAATTATTTGCAATAAATCAATTAACTAAATGAGAGGAATTTTTAGTAAACTTTGACCTAATATAAAAAAAAGAACAGAGAAAATTCATCAAAAATTTAAATATATATGCTGAAAAACCATGATTCCTGAATTTTCAATTTTCCTGATTTAGATTTTGATTATTTCCCGATTGAATTTTTTTCTAAAATAACATTTGGATGACTAGATGCATAAATTGTGTAGGTAGGTATTTGAATCACAGCGTTAAAAATCCCTGAGTAAAGTTTTATTTTTTTCAAGAAAAACTAATCAAAATTTTTCCGTATACTTTTACGTGAGTAATATTTCGTATAATGAATAAAGAAAGTCCACATCAAATTACAATAAAAACTGCCAACTAGTTTTCCTTTAAAGTAATAAAACTTGAGAGGAGACCTGTAATGCAGCGATCTAAGATTCGCATTAGTCAATTCTAGCCATCAATTTATCTATCATGAATATCATAAGTTCTCCTATCTCTCATGTGTTGACAAAGTTCCTCTGGATTTAATACGATGATAGGTGTAGGTATCCTGCTCTCCTTCCTACAAAACAGCTTTACTATTGCCTTAAAGTCCGCAACACAAATAACACTCTGGCGTTGCAGTGTTGCATACTCATTCATATGAAGGCGTTTCTTAGCTGTGAACACATGGAATGGGGATTAAGTGGAGGCGTATATGTATGATACTGAGTGGATAAGGTTTGTTTCTGGTGACAAATCATCAGTTTTCTGAAGTCGTAGACTATTGATTGCTATTCTGGGTGTATTGTCTCACAAAAATTTTTTGTAATGATGAAAATGCAAACTTTATACTTACAAATTAAACAACTATTCGGAGTTTCCTTAAGGCTTTTGAGTGGGAACGACTGAGAAAAATTGCGATCAATGGAACTCGAGCGAAACCAGCATTGCAAAGGATACCTGGAATCATCCACAGGGAAATGAGGATTAGTAAGTTTTTGCACAAAAAGGTCGGAATTTTTAAAGGGAATGAAGGATGGAGATCTGAGGGGTCCGAGGCACATTTTGGAAACTTCCTAGCTTTTTTCCCCTGTTATCAGCATATTCTGCATGGATTTGAAGTTATAAAAAACGTTTGTTATTATTCGAAACAATAAAATAGGAGCGACATTTTTGAAACGCCACAGAGGAGATACATGATTTCACTTTTTGATGAGTGGTAAACTTTTAACTGTGAATGTTTTATGCAATTTATTTATTTTTTTAAAAAAAAAATATATACATATATATATATATAGTTATTATTAGTTAGTTATTATAATTTTGAGACATTCAGCGACTCAGGCTATTAACGTCTTTACAGGTAATTTTGAAAATATATAGGAGTGTAAACGAAAATTTAGATTTTTAAATTAAGAGAGGTGAAGAGTTTCAGAATTTCGGTGGCAATATTAGGTTCATCGCATGTAAGAGGGTTTGTATTTCTGTTGATTGTAGGGGAGTAGATCTGTGATTGGAGATGTCGGAGGGAAGAGCAGTCCATAAGTATCCTACATGCATATTTGGTCCATGTTTCATATACATGTTTGAGGCAGAATTGATGAGAACGACTAACCATTTGTAAAAATCAACTGGGCTTTAAATATAATATAGTATCTGGGAACACCATTATTAAATCTACCTACTCACGAGGAATAAAAAAATCTCAAAAAAGACACCAAAAATTTTGTTAAAAAATTAAAACTTCTCAATAACTTTCAGAGTATAGAGACGCAGTGTACACTAAAAAATAACTTCAAAATTCGCAATATTGTGCTTTTAAGAAGGGAAAAAGCATCGAGTTGAAAAATGAAAACAATTTCATCCATCTGTTACTTTGACAGTGCCAAAGTGGAGGTTATGAGACAGACGCATTCCAAGGTGCATTTGCACACATAACGCGATAGATCATAAAGGAAACCCTCTCTAATTTTTCCCAAAAATGTATATTACTGAACGAAAAGACTATACTAAAACCAGTCAAGTGACGGAATTCCAAAAACTCACACGGGAAAATTGTTTACATCCGTGCATGTACTTCACAGATGTTTGTCGTGAACCAATTTTTTCCCCGAGACCTAGTTTTTTGGCGCGATTGATACGTTCAATAAAGGTGCAGGCAAAACAAAAATCCTTGAAACAAACAACAGATCGAGGAGTAATCCGACGAGAAAAGGCGCATAAGTAAAGGAATGAGGCGAGAGAGGTCTCGCGTGCAGTCGAAAGGAGCAGTGATAAGAAAACAAACTCACCAGTGACCAGGCAGGCGCTGCGCCAATCAATAACACTTTATTTACACTTTTCGCTGTCTTATCGCAGTCGACACTCGCGGTATGGAACTTCCGAAGGTGCGATCCCGAAAATCGACGGAATTTCGGCGGAAAGCACACTGTTTCCGGGGCACTTAAATGATCCGAGCATTAAAAGAGGACTGAGATGTGTACCGTTCACGAGCACAGGTTCAAGTCAATGTAAGGGGGTGGAGCGCCTTGGTGGGGGTGAAGCTCCGTTGATGAGGGTTGACGGGGTGGCTCGATCGCCGCGTTGCCAGGTTGGTCTTCGTAATTTTTTGTCACCCTTAAACTCTCACCGGCGAGCGTACATCGGCGCGGGTGGGAGGGTGAACCGCTTCNCCCCCCCCCCCCCTTCTTCTTCTCACGGTTGGAATTTAATGATGTTCAAAATCACCGTAAAATATACCTAGTGCGTGCGGCTGGATTTTTACGTTGACTAGCTTCACCTCAAAAATCCCAATGTAACTAGCTTTTCAATTATTATTTACTCTTACAATTTTTTTTTTCAACTTAAAAATTTGCGTAAACTAATAAACATAAATTAATAATTTTTTCTCCAATTTTTCCTGTTTTTTTTTTTTTTTATAATTTGATAGTTTTCAGCTCTCTTTTTATTTCATCGAGCTCGCTGAAAGCCAAAAAACAGCAGAACTTCCCCGATTTTTGCTGTCGTGTGTGTCATTATTTCCCATTTCGCTCCATCTTCAAACAATCGAAATTGCAAAAAATTGCGATCACGCGCAAAAAGCCCGCATATATTGCGGAAGCTCTTACGAGACGGAAAAAATCCATGAAAAACCGTCTTCAGACGGAAGTATGACCCCCATCAATTCGGTCATATTTTTCTCCTCCTTTTCCTTTTAGCGCTCGGTGGAAATTCTGAAGTTCCCTGAAATGTTCAGCTCCTCTAGTCCGCGATAAATATGTCATCACTCACAGATAAGGAGTATAGTGATAACAATTTTATCAGCATTCCGATCACAAAGACGAAGCGAGACTTGACCGGAGATTAGTGCGACTTCATGCTCATTGTTAGTAACACTTGCCTCTGGTGACAAAGGTGGCTATTAAAACACTTGTGAGCATCCCAGCACCTGCGAGACCGTGACGAGTCGCGAGTAGCCGCGAAAAAGAGTGAATAAGCGCGGAAAAAGACACGTGACAAAACCTTGCGCTTGATGCGTTGAAAGTAGATTCCTTCAAACCGGAAAAATCAAATTTTACTTAAACGACGACAGAAAGTAATTACAAACTTCAAAGACACAGCTTCCGCCGAATATAAAACATAGATCCGAGAAGAACTGGTGTTTTTTAGGAAAAAGTCACGGGACAAAACTTTGTGTTTGATGCGTTAAAAATAGATTCCCTGGGACCAAACTAGATCAAATTTTACAGGAACTAATGACAAATCTCAAGTCAGGACTCGTGCTAAATTTTAAAAAATATTAGATCCGAGAAAAACTAGTAATTTTTAAGTAGTAGCCACGAAAAAGTCACATGACAAAACTTTGTGTTTGGTGCATTAAAAGTAGATTCCCTGGGACCAAATTAAATCAAATTTTACAGAAACAACGACAGAAACTAATCACAAATCTCAAAGTCAGGGCTCGTACCAAATTTAAGACCAGGAGGCGAGCGAGAAAAGAAAAAAACCCAGATCAAAGAAAAACTAGTATTTATTTACTTATATTTTTAAATAGTAGCCACGAAAGAGTCACGTGAGAAAACTTCGTGTTTGATGCGTTAAAAGCAGATTCCCTGGGGTCAAATTAAATCAAATTTAACAGAAACTAATAGCAAATCTTAAAGCCGGGCTCTCGCCAAATTTTAAAAAAAACTAAACCCGAGAAAAATGTATGTAAAAATCATAAGGTGCCATAAGGTTAGGAACGGGCGCGCCGAGCGGTCATCAAAGGACTCTTGGCAACAGCGCGGTCGCGTAGCAACGAAGACGGGGGGAGGGCGAGGCGCGGCGGGGTGGACTCCTGGCATGCAACCCTGTCTGAGTCGAAGAAAAGAAAGAACAAAGTAGCCCTAGAAAAGACAGGAGCCTGCTCGGAGTGATTTCTCTGGGGGAGGGAGAGGGGTGGCTGCACCGCTGTGAAGGTGGCGGTGCAGCGGGTAAATACAATACGCACCCGCGCGGGAGGGGGTGGGGGCAGGTGGGGGTTCCCGTGGAAAAATGCTGCCGCGGGACTGTGGGCGGAAGGGTGAAAGGGTGAAAGGGCGAAAATTAACGGAGCCATTTATTAGCCGTTGGCTAGTTATTATGAGGGAAAGGGTCAAGATTCAAATGCCTCGAGGTTTATTATGTGCCTTTGTGCCGGTGGCTGAGCCGGGAAAACCCCGGTTTCATCTCGGTCGACTCGCGCTACTTGTCGCCGTGCTGAGGAAAAACACCGTGTGAGCATTATTCGAATGTTGCCGGATTTCCTCTCGGAAAATATTTATTATCGAATCAAATTAGGAATGTTTTACTCTGAAATTTTAAAACGCTTCAGATCAAATTCTGGGGGAAATTCTCTGAAAAAGTGGAGGACAAAATAATATTTAAGAATGTCCCCAAAAATTCGTGATTTGCCTCAGGTAATCTGGTAACGTCTAGAGGCTCATACGGATTTCTTCCTCAGCAAGGCAGTGTAGAGAAATAATTGTATTTTCAGTGGTGTTTACTGCATGTACATAAGAAAAACACTGCTTAATACTGTACGGAGGATGCTTTTTGGCCTACTTCGATAATTGGAGGCGAAATAGCAGGATGGAGAGAGCTGTCTTATCCACGTGTGTTAATTATGCCTCCTCTGAATCAATCAGAAATCTACTTAAATCGATTGCGAAGCTCAGGATCCACGTATCTCGTTTTTGCGTTGGTTTAAAACTTCGGCTCCTCATTCATTTTTCGATGGGAAACGAGCCAACTTAATGACTCCAATTTTGCTCTAATCATTCTTCAGACGGAAAAAGAAACTCGCAAAAATTTTCAAGACGTTTCTCAGATACGCTTATTCGTTTTCGAACTAAAAAATGAAGCCGATATAAAGTCTGCGACGTCGGAAACTCAATGGAATTATTTTAGAATTTAGCCATCAAGACGCTATAAATGAGCAGAACAAGTTAATCACATGCATTAGCAGAGAGTAAAGTACTTATTCTTATGTCAATATTTTATGTCTAATTTTAATAGAGTTTCGACTCTCCAACAAAAGGCAGGAAACGTGATCCACCTTTTTAAGACGAAAGTAAAGAGCTTGATGCAAAAACGGCTTTTTTCGCCCCCCCTCTGGAAGTTCTTCAGACTTTGTCTATTGATTACTCATACTTGAGCGCTTCTTCTCCCAAATTTTCAGACTCCCAAAAAATTTTGGGGGGAGCTAGGGGGGGTGGAAGTCAAAACCTGTGAACCTCGATATCTCTTGAACAAAGAAAGATATCGAGGTCCGGTTTGGACGAAAAATCGTCTAAAATTGTATACTTCAAGATTCTAAAGGTCGAAATCCCGATATCACATTTTTAAGTCAACATATCTGCTTTTTTCCAGTTTTTAGGTCTAGAAAATTTCTTTTAAACGAAAAATTTACAAAGATCTCAATTTTTTATTTGAACCAAAACCAGTTTTTTAAATCGTTCGTTTTTTTCCGCATCCAACGAGTGGTCCATTAAGCTGGGGAACCAAACGGTTCCGGAGTTATGATCGATTGAAGTTTCCGCTCAACGCGCGCCGACCGATTTTCGCGCGCAAAAAAGTCGGATTTGACTGTTATTAGATCAAATTGAGTGTTCAAACTGAGCAAAATGCTTTATTAGGGACTCTTAAGGGTCGCTGAGTTCAGAAATTCCCGATACTTCCAATTAATTTACGTTCTTAAAATTACAGCTCCGCAGCGCTATTTTAGAGGCCCACTGAGCGCCGACCGGTCGCTCAGTGGTCCTGTCCGAAGCTGCAATTTTAAAAACGTGAATTTTTTGGAAGTATCGGTAATTTCTGAACTCAGCGACCCTCAAGAGTCCCTAATAAAGCATTTTGCTCAGTTTGAACACTCAATTTGATCTAATAACAGTCAAATCCGACTTTTTTGCGCGCGAAAATCGGTCGGCGCGCGTTGAGCGGAAACTTCAATCGATCATAACTCCGGAACCGTTTGGTTCCCCAGCTTAATGGACCACTCGTTGGATGCGGAAAAAAACGAACGATTTAAAAAACTGGTTTTGGTTCAAATAAAAAATTGAGATCTTTGTAAATTTTTCGTTTAAAAGAAATTTTCTAGACCTAAAAACTGGAAAAAAGCAGATATGTTGACTTAAAAATGTGATATCGGGATTTCGACCTTTAGAATCTTGAAGTATACAATTTTAGACGATTTTTCGTCCAAACCGGACCTCGATATCTTTCTTTGTTCAAGAGATATCGAGGTTCACAGGTTTTGACTTCCACCCCCCCTAGCTCCCCCCCAAAATTTTTTGGGAGTCTGAAAATTTGGGAGAAGAAGCGCTCAAGTATGAGTAATCAATAGACAAAGTCTGAAGAACTTCCAGAGGGGGGGCGAAAAAAGCCGTTTTTGCATCAAGCTCTTTTTCTGCTGGCTGATGAAATTAGGACTCTCTTCCTTTGCCGAGAAATCCCATTAATCCAAAATTTTGTTCAAGTTTTGAACTTACGTACTTGTGACATCCATCTCACTGTCGGATGTACTAAAAAAAAGTCTAGTCGTTCAATTTCATGTTGAATCGCAGACAGTCGAACTGTTCAATTATGTCATTCAAGGGGAAATCGCCCTCTGAACATTCGGATGCCGCTGAGTATCATTTTTAAGAATGGTGTGGATATATTGTCTTGAAATTTCCATCTCAACTTCGATCCGAATACAATTTTCTCGCTTGTACTTAAAATAAGTAGTTCTTCGTATGGAATGTAAGCAACATAACGATGGTGAAACTGCAAAAATGCGTACCTATATCGGTTGCGGTGTTTGAAAATCTCCGCTCCTATTTTATTTTTTAAAAGGAAAACGAACCAACATCGTGGCTTGAAATTTTCACAGAATATTCTTCCCATAGAGAAGAAAAATATCCGAAGTGCTCAATAAATGACGTTATGTGGTTTTCCATATGAAAAACAAAGTATGACAGGAAGTCTGCAACGCCGCAAACCGATATACGCATTTCTGCAGTTTCGCCATCGATAACTGAAGGGTAAATTTCGAACTATACTACTGATATTGTTGTAACACTTTAAATCCAAAAGATCGTTAGTACTTTATTGAATGAAGAAGAAGATCTGATTAATA